GAAAAAAAAAAAAGAATAAATAACCGCCCTCAATTACAAACCCCAAACGCCCAATTTAATAATATAGGATAAATTATACTTTGTCCCATTTATGTTTGGCTATTTTCCCATTGTTGATCTTTAAATTTTTTTCTCCTCTGCTTTGACCTTTTATGTTTCAAATTTTGTTTTCAACTTATTCCAAAAGTTAACTCATGTTTAAAATTAAACACAAAATTATACATTGACAATTACTTGACATACAAATATTTTATATATAACTCACATACTCAAATTGAAATATTAATTGAATAATATATATTTTTATGTCATGTGTCAGCTAAAGTAATATTTTTTCTTAAATATTGAACATTAATTTTAAGAATAAATTTAAAAAATAAAATATGAAAAATTAAAGTAAGAAAAAAGAATTTTAGAGCCAATTTGATGAAATGATCAAATATAGAAGAAATAGCCTAATTTATCCTAATAAAATATAAAGAAATAATACATTTCTTTAATTTGAGAGTTTTAAAAGAATACTATGATGTGAAAAATAAAATAGAAAAAAATCAAAGTTAAAATATCACATCATATAGAATCTACACATTAATTAAAACTATTAAAACTCTTAATTTAGACCTTTCAATCATTTTTCTAAAAGAATAATTATATATATATCAATTAGTGTACTAACTGATATACCAATTGATGATATAATATAATTTAAAAAAATTTCAAATTTATAATGTGATTAATAAATAAAATCAATAACAATAACATAACTAATATTAATATACTAACGTTGCACTCCGTTTCAAAAATATATGAATGTATTTATAATGGGCAACTATGATACAGACCACTAAAATAAGATCACTAAAAGCAGCTCTAATAACGTGGCATGCCTAAAAAAAAATTAAAATAGAAAGAAAAGAGGAAAAAGACAAAACACAAAGAAAAAAAAGACAATTTAATGCTCTTTTAGTGCTCCTCTTTTAGTGCTCTAAATCATTTTTCTTATAATGGGATGGTTGTGTCGGTGTGTACGGCTTGTGTACAGTACCTCGTAATAAAAGAATTTACAATTCAGATATGGAGAGCAGACTCTAGAAAGATTATCTACGCGCATCATCGCCGCGCGTAAGAACGGCTCGCCAATAATGAACTAACAATTGCGCTTTTACAAAGCCACTTGATTTGAATAACCTAAAAGAGTCAAAAAAAAAATATATATATATATATATATATTAAAAAATTAAAAAAAATCATATTATTTAAAAAAAGCTTGTGAAAAAAGTTTAAAGGACAAAATTATTATTTTATCATTTAAATTTAATTATTCAAAAGTCAATAAGGACAAAATGATCATTTTATTATAATATTTTATTACACATATTTTTATAAAAAGTCAAAAAATTATTCCAAACATACATATTTTTTCTCTACTTTTTTAGTTACAAAGTTAAAAGTATACTTATATAGCACATTAGGCACTATGTGACCATGCCCTATGTCAATCACAAATTTTTTATGTCTTTTTGTATTTTCTAATCACTTAATATAAAATTATAGATTTTATTCTCTCTACCAATCACATTGTAGATGGAGCACTATGTGACGCTAGTGCTGCAAATGAGTCAAGTTTTGCTGCGTTTGAGCTCGGTTTATTTGCTTATCAAGCTCGTTCATTAAGCTCAAACTCAGCTTGATAATTAGCTGGCCTTGAGCTCAGCTCGACTCGACTCGACTCGACTCTATAAGATTTTTTAAATATTATTTAAATAAAAAATATTTATTTATATTATTTAATATATAAATGATATATTTATTATATAATTTAAATAAAGATAAACATGCTGAGTTTATTCGAATTCAAACTCGACTCGTTTACTAAATAAACTTAATATTCGAACTCGAGTACAACTCGTTTACTAAACGAGTCGAGCCGAACCGAACGTAACCTATTCGTAAACAGTTTGGTTTATTTGTAACCTTACGTGGTGCTAGCCCTGAATTAATCAATACCTTTTCCATGATTTACATTTTGGGAAATTACTTGTCATTCTATGGGTTAAAAAATATTTTCAAATAAGTGACATTCTTTATAAATATTAATATGTAAAATTATAATTTTTTTATGATTTTATAATTAAGTTTTGAAAATATCACTGACAAGTAATTTGAGAAAATTACAATTTAGGTTGTACGACCATAAAAGATTAATAAATTATGAGTTGCAACTTCTTTTGTTATAGGATGTAACTTAGGACCATAAAAGATTAATAAATTATGGGTTACAACTTGTTTTGTTATGGGATGTAACTCAAACATTATGGGGTTGTAATTTATAATTTTAGCATTAGTAAAGTAATATTATTAAAATTTGTCATTTTTGTATTGTATTATGTCAAATTATAACTTTTGCATTGTCAAAATATCAATTAAAAATGTCAAATATTGTTTGTTTTTTAATTATCAACTAAAATTTAACATGATTGGAGATATCTTAGAAGGGAAAAAAAAGAAGCAATTTAGGAAATAGAATATTTAAAATAAATAAAACTGTTTTGTTTCTTGAAAGTGATTGAGGTAAAAAAAGGGGGCTAGAGGTGGGCAAAATGATTAGGGGAAGGAATGTAAAGGTAGTAGAAGGAGTTAAAAAAGGGCATGAAATGATAGAGAAAGAAGTTGGTAGAATGAGAGGTGTAGAGTTGGAGAAGAGGTGGCTAGTGTCTGGTGGTGAGATAGAGAAAGATAAGACATTTTAACAATTGTAACAGAAGATTCCACCTATTTGTAATTATTGTTGAGGTAATTAGTGATAAGTCTATTTTTAAGGGATATACTTTCAGTCTAAGGATTAATTTTTATGAAAATAAAAATATACTTAATAAAATTATTTAATGAGAAGGATAAATTATTATATATATATATATTTTAAAATTTTATTTCATTTTTACCAAATCACTGTTGAATAGTAGTAAAAAAAGTTGTTAGTTGTGGCCAAAGACTGCGACTAGTGGTGGTGGTGATATGAATTATGTGAGCAAATATATGACACGTGAATAAATATAAAGATGACGTATTAATAAATAAGTGATGTGAACAGATAGATAGGTGAACAGAATAGTAGCGATAATATGATGTTTTAAAATTATTTTGTTCTTTTAACAAGTGGTGTTTTGGAAAATTAGTAAAAAAATTAACTTTTTTGACTTTTTGTAATTTTTTTAGTTTTTTTATATAAAAAAATAAAGAGATGATAGATTTAAAAAAATTAAAAAGTCAAAAAATTAACTTTTTATCAACGTGTCAAAACGCCTCTAAAATTTTTGATATGACTTGCCCTTATTTTTAATTACCCATTATTTTGTAATGATTACCCCATTTTCCATTTTTAAGTAATACTCCGACCTGTCTTATTTTTGAAAGAATATTTAAAAAAGTAAAGAGCAAAAAAATAATTACAAAATAATAAAGGTACAAGTGATTTATTCATTAGAAAATATTGATGTGCATCATATGTATTTTATAATGGTATGTCATACGTACTCTTAATTATGTCATATGTATATAAGACATTTGGTGATTCATTTAATAAAAAATTTGGAATCTATAATATTTTTCTTTTTTAAATTATCTTTTTCTTTTTTTTCTCTACAAACGTGCAAACACGCGCTCATAATCGAGGGTGGTGGAGATAAATAAGATTATTTGTCTTTATTTGAAACATCTTTTTGCCCTCCAATATTTGTAACTTCACTCCAAAACCATGTAATGTAACCAATGCAAGCAACTTGTCACAGACAAGAGCTCGTAAAGTTCCCCATCAATGGCCCCCTCCTCTCCAAACCCTAATCCCTCTTCAATAGTAGCTAAAAAAGTTTTTAGTTGTGGCCAAAGACCGCGACTAGTGGTGGTGGTTATATGAATTAGATGAGCAAATATATAACATGTGAATAAATATAAAGATGACGTATTAATAAATAAGTGATGTGAACAGATAGATAGGTGAACAGAATAGTAGCGATAATATGATGTTTTAAAATTATTTTGTTCTTTTAACAAGTGGTGTTTTGGAAAATTAGTAAAAAAATTAACTTTTTTGACTTTTTGTGATTTTTTAAATTTTTTTATATAAAAAAATAAAGAGATAATATGATTTAAAAAAATTAAAAGTCAAAAAATTAACTTTTTTTCAACATGTCAAAACGCCTCTAAAATTTTTGATATGGCTTTCCCTTATTTTTAATTACCCGTTATTTTGTAATGATTAACCCATTTTCCATTTTTAAGTAATACTCCGACCTATCTTATTTTTGAAAGAATATTTAAAAAAGTAAAAAGTAAAAAAATAATTACAAAATAATAAAGGTATAAGTGATTTATTCATTAGGAAATATTGATGTACATCATATGTATTTTATAATAGTATATCATACGTACTCTTAATTATGTCATATGTATATGAGATATTTGGTGATTCATTTAGGGCTATTTTGGGAACTTGGCTAAAAGTCACTTTTTTTGGTTAGTAGCAAAAGCCAAAAGTTGGCTTTTTTGGCTTTTTTTTTCATTTGGCAAGTTGTTTTTTAGCCAACGGTGAAATTACAATTTTACCCCTCATGGGTCACAATGTGTTACATAGGTTCAGTTGTAAATATTTTAAATAAATGGGGGTAGTTTAGTCATTTTATTATGATTTGACATCATAAACAAATATTAATCAAAAAAGTCAAAAGTCACTTTTTACCAACTTCTCAAATCATTTGTCTAAAAAAGCCAAAAGCTTGGTTAAAAGCCAAAAAGTCACTTTTTACCATCTTCTCAAAACAATTAGTAGAAAATTTGGAATCTATAATATTTTTCTTTTTTAAATTATCTTCTTCTTTTTTTTCTCTACAAACGTGCAAACACGCGCTCATAATCGAGGGTGGTGGAGATAAATAAGATTATTTGTCTTTATTTGAAACATCTTTTTGCCCTCCAATATTTGTAACTTCACTCCAAAACCATGTAATGTAACCAATGCAAGCAACTTGTCACAGACAAGAGCTCGTAAAGTTCCCCATCAATGGCCCCCTCCTCTCCAAACCCTAATCCCTCTTCCCCCCTCAATATTCACCTCCCCTGAATTCAACCCCAAACCCATCTCATTCCTTGCTTTTTTCACCATAATCCACCAAATACTCTGTTTTTCTCTCCCATATATATATAAACTTGCATGCACAATTGTCTATGCATAGACGATTCAATTTCTTGATTTGAGATGTGATTTTGTGCGCTCTGTAATGGCTCGAGAAGGGTTCATTGTGCCTGTGGAGACTCAAGCTTCTCTGAAGAAGAAAACTGCTGTTTCATGGAGATGGATGTTGCTAGACCACACTGGGCAAGGCACGATTTTGGATTTGGACAAGTATGAGATCATGCAACGCGTACCTATTCATGCCAGAGACCTTCGAATTCTCGATCCTCTTCTTTCTTATCCTTCCATCATTCTCGGCCGAGAAAGAGCCATCGTTCTCAATTTGGAGGTAGCTTAATTTAATTGATTTCAATTCTGTTCTGATTCAATTTTTTTTCTTTTCTTAGTCATGTTCACTTAAATTCGTTCTGATTTTGCTTGATTTTGGTTTTCAGCACATCAAAGCAATCGTCACGAGTGAAGAGGTAATGCAGTCTCTGTGTTTGTGTGTTTGTTCAATTTTCATGTTTTGCAAATTGATTTTTTTTTTTTTTTTTTTTGGTAATGAAATGAAATTTGAGGTTGGAGTCAATTGTATGTACTGAGGGCTGGTTTTTTTTTTTTTTTTTTGGCTGCAAATTTGTGATTTTTGTGTTTGGGAAGGTATTGCTTCGAGACCCCCTAGATGATAATGTAATCCCTGTTGTGGAAGAACTACAAAGAAGATTGCCTCCGGTGATTGCTATCAGTCAAGACCAAGGAGAGGATGAAGAGCAGCAGGGGGCAAAAGACGATGTTGAACCCGGTGAGCAAAATGGGAAATCCATTATCAACAAGAGAGTGTTTCTAATAATTTTTCTGGTGACCTTAAGAATGAAAAAGTTACTGAAAATGAGTGAAAGCCTTGCTAGCATATTCTAATCAATTTGTTCTATATTTTTATACACATTAATTGTTGGTTGTTTCTGGTTTTGGGCTGTGCTTTGATAAACTGATTGATGGTTCGAGCAATCTAATGTAGAATTCCCATTTGAATTCCGGGCTCTAGAGGTAGCTCTAGAAGGCATTTGTAGTTTTCTTGACGCACGTACAGGAGAATTGGAGACAGCTGCATACCCAGCTTTAGATGAGCTGACCTCAAAGGTAAGGCTTCTTTCACAAATTGTTAGTTTTCATTTTCTTTTGTTAAATACTTTGAAGAAGGAAAAAAAAGAAGATGTTTTGCTGACATAACAGTGCTATTTCTTTGTATCTAGTGCAGCCGAGTTTCTTCTTCACATAGGCTTGCAAACAATAAACTGGAACTTGCATGTTTTCTTCATTGCTTTTGTTGATTAGAATTTACATATGTTATGTTGTCTGGGCCCATGGGGCCCACTACGGCTCTCGTTTTGATAATTTGAACCGTTCATTTTGTAGGGTCCTTTGTGTATATCATCTACACAAAAAATTAGGTTGATCCAATAATCGATTGTGTTTGTCACAAAAAAATAAATAAATAAATTGGATGGTTTATTTTTAAGAACACATTTGTTGTCCATTTTTTTGGAGACAAATGCGATAAATTGAATAGGCTGCGATTATTGAATTGATCAAATTTTTTGTTTGCATGATATACATAAAGTGTCTAACAAAATGAACGGTTTTGATCATTGAAACCGGACCCGTGGTGAGCCCCATGGGCCCGGACAGCACCTCCCAGTCCAGGTCAGCTTCCATACACATCATGCCTAACAGTTGGATGTTCTTCTGCAAAACTTGAGTTATATTTTAATTTGATGCTGTTTTGGTAAAACAAAATATTTCTAGAGTTCATTATTGATATTAGTACAGTTCTTAAGCAGAATGGCTGCTCAGTGTTCTGAATTTGTCAATTATATTGACATCGTCAAAGATATATGATAAATATTGATGTTATGTTGACAGACATTTGGACATTCAATATTCACCATATCTTTAATAGTACTTGTATTGTAGGGTTGCTATTGAAGATTTAAATAGAGAAACAACATTTAATCATATTTAATGTGTTCTAATTACATCCCAAGAAAGAGGAGTATCAGGGTATCATCTATCTATTTTCCTTGTAACTGTTACCTTGTGGTGTGACCTGTGCATTTCCGATAAAGTGTAAACACACATGAAAATGAAAAGTAACATTTGTTAGAAAAAGGCTCTATTTTATATTGGAATGGAATTCATTTGCTGTGCGGGGTGGTTGCAACATAATTTAACAGTTTTAGCTTCAATAAACTCCTTTTTATTCTCAAATTGGAACATATATAACTTTCAGGACTGGGCTTCCTAGTCTTCTGCAGTATAAAAGTTTATAAATTATCATCTTCAAATAATCTCTAGGGATCTTGTATCATTGTTACATTTGTAATAATCTCTAGGACATTTGTCTTTTCCTTTTCCTTATTAATTTGTTTAATTATATATTTTGAATTTGATGCAATTACAATTATGTGCAGATTAGCAGCCGTAATTTGGATCGGGTGCGTAAATTGAAGAGTGCAATGACAAGGCTGACTAGTCGGGTTCAGAAAGTATGTCTCTGGTTCCACTTCTTGCCATTTACTCATCTACCCTAAATAAAAAAGATTGTAAAAGCATATGGTGGTCTATCCACATTCGATTATCCCTGAAGATGAAGATGGCCTATAGGCCCTCTAGACAGAAGACAACAGAGGGTCCCATTATGTCCCTTCTTAATATTTGCAACTTAATTGAAAATTTGATATTTGGGTGATTTTCAATGTCATATTCTGGCCTACCCTGCCAATGCTAATTAATGTGCTATCCTGTAACTGCAATTTTGAGCCCACAAAGGCATTTTCTATGATTATATTGCATCAAAGCATTTATGATATCTTTTTCTAGAGGATACAGAGCATCACCATTTAATGGTTTTCTCTTATGCAGAATTGATGCATTCCCCAACTTATACTGCTTCCATAATATAGCTTATAGATGACATTTCTATTTAAACCTTTTCATTTAATAACTAGAACAAGTATGAAAAGTTTAACAAGTATGCAGAATTGACATTGAAAGTTACCACATGCACTATAATGCTTCTATTGAAACTACAAGTTTTCATTAATTAAATTTGATCTTCTTTAGTGAATTTTCCTTTGTCCAATTAATGACACGAGATCTGGGACAAAAATTTTGAGCCAACCCATTAACACTGCATATTTTAGGCCTGCAAATACAGCTTGCCTACAGAATTCAATTTCAGTTGTAGCATTATCAGCCATCTCAATATTCCCAAAATTTTCGAACTAGTCCCCTGTTTATTTAGACTTACTGTCTAAAAAGAATGATAATTTCCAGGTAAGGGATGAACTTGAACAACTTCTCGACGACGATGATGACATGGCAGACCTTTACTTATCAAGGAAAATGGCCGGTGCTGCTTCCCCTTTGAGTGGTTTTGGCAATCCTATTTGGTTCCCTGCATCTCCTACTATAAACTCAAAGATATCCCGAACAAGCAGGGCAAGTTTGGCAGCTAGCCATGTGGAAAATGATGTAGACGAACTTGAAATGTTGCTCGAGGTTGTGATGTGATTTTGGTGGTAATTGATTTTTTTCTTTGGATTAAACTAAATTCTAAGCTGAAGTGCAGAACTGTAAAATATTTTGCAGGCATATTTTATGCAAATTGAAGGTACCTTGAACAAACTGACCACGGTATGCACTCCCTTGCTGATCTAGTTCAGAATTTTCTGCTCTTACATTGTTTAATAATATGCAAGCATGAGAACGAAGAATCCGTGCTAGGAAGTTCAATTATCCAGTATAATTGAGAATTAGGTCGATTGTTGGAATATATTATTTATCTCTCATATTATCTTGTGCCAGAATATTGATGCGTATATTGAAAATTCTTTTCGTTCTAGTTGCGTGAATACATTGATGACACGGAGGATTACATCAATATCCAGGTAAGCTGCTGGACAACCTCATATTGAACTGAGAATGAATGGAATGTGACAATATTGTCGAAAGTGAAATTTGATAATTTTAAGACATCCTTCACCTGTCAAGGGAATGTTTAGTTTTCACTAGCTTTCTCTTGAATGCTTCATTTATTTTGGTGGAAAATATTTTCCTCGGGCAATGATGGTGTTGGCGTTAAGACTATGGTATGTCTCATTAGGTTCAGAAAATGTTTTCTGCCTTTAAAAACGGAAAACATTTTTTGCCCAAATCAGCTCATTTTGGGTTGATCATGGAAAATGTGTTCTGTTGGCTATCATTTTTTTCTGTATTAAAAGTCAAAAAATAGAGAACTTTTTCCACCGAAACAAATGGAGCAACAATGTCAAAGTTTATTTTCTTGGTTATCATCTTTTTAACCAATAAAGTAGCTATCAAGTATTTAGATGTAATACTTAAACTAGTTTCTTGTGATCTTTCTTTCCTGCTGCAGCTGGACAATCACCGAAATCAGCTGATTCAGGTGCTGCACTCAAGATTTAAATAAATCAACTTTTTACCCATTAGTTTCAGCTTGCATTTCTTTATTATGCCTTTGAGTTTAAATTCTCTTGGCAAGAATTTTTCTTTGTAGGATATTTGCTACAAAAGTTATGCACGTCCAACCCCTTTTCTGAGCTTACCATTCATATTTTTCCTTTTTTTTTTCTTTTTTTTCTGTGTTATTGTATATGCAGCTGGAGCTCTTCCTAAGTTCTGGGACTGTCTGTGTGTCGATATATTCTTTGGTGGCTGCTATATTTGGCATGAATATCCCTTATACATGGAAGGAAGGCCATGGCTACATGTTTAAATGGGTACGTAGATCACCCAATACACTTTGTTTCCGCATTTGGCAAGGTCTTCCCTATAGCTTCATAATTTTCACTCTCTCTAGGTGGTCATCCTCACGGGAATTCTCTGTGGATCCATTTTCTTGTCAATAATGACCTATGCTAGGCACAAAGGTCTTGTCGGCTCTTGATTTCATGGAATTAGTTTGGAGGAAGATCCATGATAAAAGCTCTGATTACAAGAAAAGCTGGTACATTTCTCTCTCTCTCTGGATTTCATGCTTGGAGTATGTATGAAGCAGCGATGATTGCTTGAAGCCTCGGTTGGCTTTAGAAGATGGTGAATGACTTGATTGGTAAAACCAATTCAGATGTCAAGACGTTTTGAACTAATAAAATGTTTGTATGTATTGAGCATGTTTGATTGGAAGGATTAAATCACGGGATTAGGATTATTAATTCGTGGGCCCAATCATCCTATGTTTGTTTTGACATTTTGGTTTAGGACTATTAATCCAATGGATAATTAATCCAACAAATTTGTAGGATTATTAGTAATGGGGTAGGGGTGGGATAGTTAATACCACACTAATTTGATTGGATTATTAATACCTCACTATTAGTATTGTGAATCAAACATGACCATTATGTATTATACAATCATGTTATTTGGGTGATTTGTACCACGGCTTGTGCTCTTGTATGATGGACTGTTGGAGGATTTTACATGTAAGAAGGCAATGAAATCTTTAGCTTCTGCTTTTAATAAAATGTAAGAAATTTTGGTGTCATTGTCACTGCCGGTTTTCCTTCAATGTCTAATTGTAATTTCAAGAGAGACATGTTCAAACCACAAACAAATAGTATGTCAAGGAATCATGGAGGACATAGATAGATAGTACTATGCTTAAACTGACAAAAGTGGATTCCACAAACACAGTTTGTCACACATGTATAGCATGAGTCCAATTTTGTTGACCTATTTTTTTCTTTCATTCAATTGTTTTGGAAAAATCAATTAATGAGGACTATTTCACCCAACCATTGATACAATAAGTAAACAAAATTATTTTTGTATTGACGTTGCTTTTATATGAGATCTTTGGTCTTACCTTCCTATCTACTTGCCATTTGGCATGCCCCCTCCCTTTTCACTTTCCCAAAGAGTAATAGATTATTTGAACATAATCTTTTTAATAATAATTTTTTGCAACTTAAAATTATTTTTGTATCATCTGTTATAAAAAAAAACTGCATCAAATAAACTAATACAAATTCAAATTCTATATATATATAAATCTATTTAACAAAGTCTCTTGCAACTTTAATTCTAGTAATAAATTTAGGTCTCGTTTGGGAACCCTCATTTTTAGCCAAAAAGTCAAAAAGTTATTAAATTAGCCAAAAAGCCAACAACTCATATCAAAAAGTCAAAGATTCTCTTTTCTCTCTACTTTTTGCACATCTTTTCGTAAAAAGCCAAAAAGTTATCCCAAACATACTAGTTTTTATTAACTCATATTTTAGCCAAATAGCTAAAAAATTACTAAATTAGCCTGTTCAGTTTTGTGACTATGTGATATATGGAAAAAATTGTGTATCATACGCACCTTATAATTATAGAAAAATAATTTTTTGCAACTTAAAATTATTTTTGTATCATCTGTTATAAAAAAAAACTGCATCAAATAAACTAATACAAATTCAAATTCTATATATATATAAATCTATTTAACAAAGTCTCTTGCAACTTTAATTCTAGTAATAAATTTAGTTTAGGTTTGTGACTTTGTGGCATATGGGAAAAACTGTGTACCATATGTACCTTATAACTATAGAAGAAAATTACATAGCTTCATCATTTCTGAGTCATAACTATAAAAAAAAAAAAAGAAGGTTACAACCAAACACAAAAAAGTCATAATCAAATATCTAAAAATAATGTCATAACTAAAGAAGAAAATTGGTCATAACTTTAAAAAAAAAATGGTGTAACTAATGGTTCATATGGTATGGAGTATGTATAATAGAATTTTCCGTGATATATATATATATATATAATCAATCAATAAGAGTGTTTAGAATATCCAGATAATTACAGTTAAATAATCGTAGTCCAACACATGTATAAGCCTAACAACCCTTTAAACAAATAATCTTATATGGAAAAAAAAATTAATCAGCCCACCAACCCAACAATCAATCTAAGAAGAAGTCCCAAAATAGAAGAACATGAATGATTTATTTATTTTAAATGAAATGTTTGGTATCGTATAAGATTTCATTTAAATACTTATCCATAATGATATAAGATATACTACTATTTATATAGTTGATTTAACATATTTTTGAGAGATAATAATTCGAGGAGGAGGTGTGCAGTTCATAAATAGTTTTGGAGAGTTTCGAGAATGGGGTTATGGAGTAGACATGCAATGTACCTTTATAATATTTGTAAATCTACTTTATACAAGTTTAACTCCATTTTGTAAACATTGCCTATTTGGTTAATGTTTTATATATATATATATATATATAAATAGAAGCTCAAACGCATATTTTGGTGCATTTAAATAATTACTTATTTTTGTGTTTATTAATTTGTTTAGTCTTAAAGTCAACCTTGAGTAACAAATATTATTGATCGGTCACGACACTTGACCTTTTGCTACCAGGAGCTGGTAGTGATAGTTAAAGCTACAATTTGACCGAATTCAATCAAGCTAATTGTCTTTCCAAGTAAAATTCAAATTTTAAAGAGTTTTTTCTAAACTTGACGAGAGTCTAATCTCCTCTGAACTTGTTTGCATTAGCCCAAGCTTGAGTTTATCTAAAAAATTGTAGTTGAGTTGAGTTGTCAAAATTCAATATAAAAAATTATATCCAATTGTCTTAAATCAATGAATTGCACTTTTTTTACAATATATATATATATATATATATAAATTACCACATAAAAGAAAATTGATTTGAATTATATGTTCCAAAAGAATACAGTAATAAATATACTACTTTGCAATATTATTTATACTATTGAAATTGTAATATTAAAAAATTTGAATTTGTTTTCTACGGCTTACCCAAGTATTACTTTGACTACATATATGTAAAATTTGAATTTGTTTTCTACGGCTTACCCAAGTATTACTTTGACTACATATATGTTTATCTCTCAAGGCAAATATAGTGGGCACCCATATGTTAAGCCAAACTAGTTCAAACAAATACTATGAGCATGACTTCATGATGGTCACCCTAATTCTACTTCTACTTATCCATCCTTCCTTCCTTCCTTCTCTCATTTTTTTTTTTAAATCAAAAAATTACGAGACTTAATAAATTATAAATTTGACAATAAATCAACTAATAAAATATATTGAAATACAAAATGAATCCTAAAAAAAAAAATTAAAGAGAGCCTTTATGTAGAGAGAAAAACAAACATACATATAAAGAGAGAAAAAAAAAATCTAAAGACATTGGGAGTATTTAGTGCAGCTGCTAAAACAGATTATAAATTATAACTTAACAAATTATAAATTAAAGCTTTAGCCTTCGTTTGGCAAACACATTGGGACTATATATAAGCACATAAGGACAAAAAAAAAAGTCATATACAAACAAAAAGTAAAAAAAACATCATTTCCAAGTGGAGGGCATATTTGTCATTATAATGCAAAAAAAGTCAAAAAAGTCAAGCAAGAAAACCAGACGAACAAAAAAGTCCCAGGCTAAAAAAGTAAAAAAAAATCAAAAAGTCAAGTTTACCAAACGACACCTTAATCAGAAGTTGCAACTATTGGATTATAGATTTAAGTTGCTGACTAGTATTTGGTAAATAAGTTGTGAAATAATTTTTTGATGTGTAAATGTCATTTTTACCCCTATCGTTTGGTAATAGGCTATTTCAATAACTTTTTAGTTTTTTACAAAAAGATGTACAGAAAAGTAGAGAGAGTGATGTGACAATTTATAATGACTTTTTGACTTTTTAACTAAAATACTTAGTCCGTAAATGAATTAACTTTTATTTTTTTTATTCACTATTAGTTCACATTTTCCATAAAAAAAAATTAATTCACAGTTTATTTGAGTCTTTTTCTATTTTCACAAAAAAAAAATAATGTTTAAGGTTATAATTATAAATTAATATGCACATAGCAGAAGTTGATAATCAGAAACAAGAACGGACAGCTTCTCAAAATTAGTTTTTTTTTTATATTAAAATAAGTTACAATCAGAAACTGTTTGAAATAAGTTTAATCAAACAGTCCAAAATAATTTTTCAAAAACTAAAATCTTTAAGTTGGTCAAAAAAAGCCACACCAAACACATTATTACAATACCAAAAAAAAATCAAAAAACACTTTCACAATAACCATCGGGGTGGTGATAACTTGGATAACGCACTTGCTATTCACATGGAATAGTAGGGTTCGACACTTGGAGGGTGCACTCTTCAAAGCTAACACTATACTCCTGTCGCTATACTCTGCTTTTAGTTATGGGGAGGGTGAGATCCATTGTTGTTGGGTGGTGAGTCTCTTTCTATAAGTTGAGTTAAATTTGACCATCAATCGACTATCCCAAGGTTAGAGTTTACGAATGCTATGATACCCCTATGGTACTAATGCTATAATACCAGACGGAACGTTCATTTTCATCGTTCAAAAAACAAAAAACACTTTCACGATATATCCATACAGTAATTCCTATCTCACCCTACTTATATAGCACATTTTTGTAATTTTATCGGGAAATTCTAATATACACTTCTTTAAAAATGACAAATCATATGCACCTCTAATTATACTGTTTTTTTAATTATAACTAATTTTATTTTTTAGTTATGCCATTATTTTAATTATGTCTTATATAATGTTTAGTTATGACTAATTTTTTTTTTAGTTATGACTCAAAAAATTAAAATTGTATTATTTTTTTAATTATAAAATGCATATGATGCATCATTTGAAGAGTATGCATCATAGTGTTTTCCAATTTTGTAAAGAGCAATGATTCATAACTCTAAATTTAGAGCTCTAACAATGGCTCTAATGATGTGGAACGAAGTTAAAAAAAAAAACAAGAAACATACATCAAAGCATTCATAAGTACAAAATGTGCTTATAATATTCTTAAACATACATCAAACATTCATAAGTACAAAATAAATAATACTCTTAAACATTTTTGTTTTGTAATTATAAATTTAGTACAAAATGTGTAACACACAAACATATGCAAATTACAATTGCTAATATTCCAAAAAGAGAAAAAAAAAAAGGAATCTCGCGTGCAGCTACGGCTAATATGCGCCAGAAGACGCGATAAATTCCCAATGTCCCAAAAACACGCCATCGCACACGAACGCACGGTGCGCAGGCTCTTCCCCAGTACACTCCCGGCGCAGTTTATCACAGCTCCTCATTATTATTATTATTATTATTATTTGTGTATTTATTTGGAATTGAAAATAATATAAAAACAACTGTTTGGTTCATGCTATTTCTGAAAGCCTCTCTCGATTTCGTCTCCCAAACAGATCATCGACGAAGCAAAACCTCTCTCTCCAAATCCATCACCAACCCACGTCGGTTCTTCACAAATCACCCTTACCCATCTCTCAATCTCACCCCATATCTCAATCTTTCTTTCTCAGATTCACAGGTCTCTCTCTCTATCTCTCTCTCACAGCTCTACACACACATACAATTATATGAATATATATTAATTCTATGTTGTTGGTGTAGTTTTCTCTGTGATTATTGTAGAGTTTGTGTTGTGTTGAATGCAGGTAAAAACAGGGGAATGAACGTAAATTTCACGTGTTGCGGAGTGTTGCTAACATGCACCATGTGGGTACGTGTGTAAAGGTTTGGACAAGGGTTGGGAGGTGAGAGAGTGAGTGGGATGTCGAATCAGGTGGTGAATGTGAGGAGAGAGACGATTGCGGCATGCATGACATGCCCACTCTGCAACAAGCTCCTCAGAGACGCAACGACTATCTCTGAATGTCTTCATACGTGTGAGTCTCTCTCTCTCTCTCTCTCAACTCTCAAAAAAACTCATCCCTCATCGCTCGAATTTTCGTCATTCGAATTTTGTTTCAATGTCAATTCTTCAAATTCTGAAACTTGTTCCATTTTTGTGATCTGGGTTCGTTTTAGTTTGGCTTGTATTGATCTGGGTATGTTTACATTTGTGCCCATATGAATGTTTAGATAATCTTGGGAATTGTGTTTCTCTCTTTTCAAAGAGAAGAAAATTAGCTGACGTTTTGAATGGATGAGATATCATTCGTGTGAGTTCAGGTGACTATAATTAGAACGAGCTTCGTATTTCACTGTTCACTTGTTGGATCATACAAGACTTTGATGTCGTTTAGTAGAAATATAGCTATGTCATCAACAAAATCAAGTATTTCAGCCATTCTTCATTTGTTTTTAGTAGAATTTTGAAACATAGCGATAATTAAGCGCGGATTGTGGGAGAATATTTAGAAATTTAGCTTACTATTGTACCCTATTACTCCCATTATAGTCGCTTAAGTTTTGTTAGTATAGTCTTTACCTACAAACTGCTAGTGGGTAGTGTTGGTATGTGTTGATCTTTAGTTTGTGCCTAAAAAATGTAGTTGTTTTTGTAAACATCTAATTTACCCTCCATTGCTTAATTGTCAAAAAAATACCCTTCTTGTTTTGTTGTCTCTTTCTATTTCAGTTTCTTATTATGTTCACCTAGATTTGCTACACATGGATAGAGTTTTATTATAATCTTTTACATTGAGGGCTCTCAACACGATGGTTGTTTGATTTTGATAGTATTTTGCCTTTTGAACTTTACATCCAGTTTGCAGGAAATGCATATATAAGAAGATTTCGGATGAGGAATTAGAATGCTGTCCAATATGCAATGTTGATTTAGGTTCTGTCCCATTGGAGAAGCTAAGGTCAGATATTCTTCCAACTTGTTAGTTTTCCCCCTCTTTGAGGCATCCCTCCTTTCTGATTGTTATAAGTAGTTTATCATGCAAAGGCGGGCTTTATACTTTAAAATTAGTTACTGCCCAAGGCGAAACCTTCAATTAGAAGTTTTTTAAATTTAAATAACATTCATAATTTTTTTATATTGTAAATTATTTTATGTGAAATTCACTTTCCTCTTTGATTCTTGTAGCTAAAAATCTGGGGGTTTATAACAGGCTTTATTATTAGAAGCCTTTAGTTAATGGGTTTTTTTAGCTGGGCATTTGAATAAATATTTTTTTATTTTTTATTTTTATTTTTTTTGTGTTTTTTTTGGTAGAGGTTTTCTTTGGTTGGGTCTTGGCATAAGGTATTTTTTGTAGGCCTTTGGACAATAAATTATTTTTTGGCTCAGCCTATTAAAAAGGAGTTTTTTTTTTTGTGTGTGCGTGCGCGTGTTGGTTATTAGGCTTTATTTTTAGATAGAATTGTACTGTGCATTTGGACAAAGGAAAGTATGGGGCCTCTTTCAAATTGGGGCCTAAAGCCACTGCTTCAGTGGCTTAGGCCTTGAGGCCTAAAGTTTTTTAGCATTGTCATTCATGATGAGAGCGTGTAATGAAGTAAATACATTATAAATTCGATAGTTCTTAAATCACCACCCATAGTTTCATTGCTTCCAATGGATTAATAGTTTCTAAATATTTGATCTTCAAGCAAGAATTTACTCATGTGCACAGTATAGGATTATGGAATGGGATTGTAATGGTATAATTTTGTGTGATGGGTCACACCATGACAACCAATCTAATTTGTCTTTGTGAAACCATGGATATCAGATCCATGTGCTCTCATATGCACATGAATTTTTAAAAATTTTTTGGTCTTGAGGATTTCCTGAAAAATAGGGATACATTAAATTCTTATTTATATATGGTAAGGATTAAGTAAATGTTTTTGTGATGTCGGAATCCTAATATTAATAACTTTTTAATGAATCTTTTGATTAAGGTAAATTAGGAGACAGTGAATTCAAAATTTAAGATGTACTAGCCAAACACATTGGTTTTCTGAGAAATTGTAGCACTATTTTACGTATTTATTTACATTTTAGCCTTCCCTTGACTGCATAACATGGATTTATTGCCTTGCATGATGTTTGAGTGATCAACCACTTTTGGTAATATCCTGGACAGTTTGGTATATTATCCTTTTCAAGTTGATTTTTTTATTTATTAATATATACATATTTGGTTAAAAGAAGGGGTGACCATTGGTATTCCGGGATTTAAATGTGATGTGGGAGGGGGGGTGTTGGTCCATTTTGTTACCCATTTTCGTGTAACAAATTTATGTCCTTAACAAAAGTGTCACACCCATTGACCTACTTGATTTTTTTTTTATTAATATATATATATATATATATATGGTTAAAAAAAGGGTTGACCATTGGTTTAATGGTTAAGACTTGGCCTAATAACCTTAAGGTTATGGATTCAAGTCTTGGGGCCACCACTTTTTACATTATGCTAAAGGTTAAGTGTGTACTTAATCTTTCCCCTCCCAAACACACGTTAATGTGTACTAATTGGGCGTTGTTTTTTTATATATATATTTGGTTCCTCTCTTCTCTCTGTCTTAGTCAAAATGCCACAATTTATGCCACCAATACTCTCATATTAGTTTCATTGACAAGGCACCATGCAAATGAGTTAGGTTTATAATAGTATCATTCTTAAAACTAGTAGGGTTGGCTTTTTAAGAACTGGCTGATGGATGATGTATTTAATTCATTACTTGCATTTTGGTGAGTGAGGTTGTTGATTTGTCGTGTCTGTCATAAAATTTAGTATTTTCTCATTGGTGTTCAAGGTTTTCTTGACCTGGAGACTCTAAATTGTTTAATTTTTCCTAATGACTAGTTGGCCTATTAGGTAGTGGAATTATCATAATATCAAGCTTGAAGATTTTGTTTTGCTTCTATCAAAATATTTTCATTACTAGTCTAGGTTTACTGCTTTAAAGTGGCATATAAAGGAGTTTGTAAGGCTCCTTTCTTATGCTTTGAGCTGTGATGACTTATTTTGATTGTTGGTCACGGTCATCATTGAATCCTCTTATACTATCTCCTGTGCATCTGTGTGCTACTGATAGAATATTAGGATGGTAAAACCCGTAACTTTTTATTTGGCCAAATTGATGCTATTAGTTTGTTTTAAGCTATTTTCTTGGTTTGCAATGTTATAATAGCCAGTGGTTATACTTGATTAAAACAAGGGTAAATTACACCATCCGAATTTCACTTTGATTCCTCATCGTTTAATTGCAACAATTAAGTCTATAGATTTCAACTCGTGTTTCAATATGGTCCTCCCGTCACTTATTGTTAAAAAATTAGATGGAAAGTGCTCACGCAAGCACATTTTAGGGGCATTTTGTATGAAAAATTACACTTTTCACCCTCCAACTTTCACTAAATTCCATTTTGGTTCCTTATGTTTCAATTTTTACTCAAATTTCAAATGATGGAGTGATGGGAGCACCACATTGAAACACGGGTTGAAGTCTAAGGACTTAATTGTTGCAATTAAAAGAAGCAGGGATCAAAGTGAAATTTGGGTGAAAATTGTAATTTACCCTTAAAAGAAAAAAATAAAAAAAATAAAAAATGAAAAAGTTAGCAGCTGTTGGTTATAAGCTATGTTAGGTGGATTTGGGTATAGGTGTCTAGTGTGGGACCTGTTTGATCCAATTCCCATGTCTAAATACACAACAAGTGAGACATGGCAAAATATTCTTATTTTTTCTATTATAATTTAATTTTTTTTGGGTAAGATGGTGTTTAGAAGATGTCATAGAACATTTCATGCATAAGATGTGGTTTTATGCATAATTTTAAAATAATAATATAGTGATACTGTTATTTCAACAAAAGAATATATTAGATACATGGTATTTTACAATTGCTTTTGACAAGTCATACAACTCATATCTAGAATTGATGGAGCTTGAAGTCATATATATTACCTATTCTTATACAAAGAAGAAAAAATTAGGGTATTCATTTGAATACCTTGTCTTACAAGTGCTGCCACCCCTGCCTTTACGCAAGTGTAGAGTGACCAACACGGGTACTTCATAAATTTAGAAGAGTTCATGTAACATAGGTTATAAGATTTTGAGGGCTCATCTCTCTCGCACTTCAAATTTTTTGAACTTAGCTTTTCCTTTTTGTTTTTCCCTTCTTCTTGTCAATTTCTTGCAGTGATCACTGTAGAACTTTCAAGAATATCGTTTCCCAAGTATGTGCACACCTCCCCTTATGTGTGTGTGCATATGTATGGGCCTTCAGTCATCTCTAAACTCTGCAATCCACCTCCCTTTGGAGTTCATTCATTTGAAAATCTTTATGTGGCATGTGCTACAATTCCTTCCTTAGTTTACTGCTCAATTTGTTTACACACCACTAGTGCATATATACCATGGATCTGGAAATACATGGAACTCTGTTCTTGAATCACGTCCATTGAATTTTGTTTATCAGGCCAGACCACAACTTGCAAGATGTAAGAGCCAAGATCTTCCCTTTCAAAAGAAGAAACATGAAGGCACCTGAAGCTGCACCTTCTGTTACATTACCAGTGAGAAGAAAGGAGAGATCACTTTCATCATTAGTGGTCAGTACTCCGAGAGTATCAACACAGACTGCTATGACAGGAAGAAGATCTAAAGCTGTATCAAGAAAGGCATCTGCTTTACGAGGTTCCAGTTTTCCAATTGAGAAACCTGTTAAGAAAGAGGAAGATTCCGTGGAAGATCGCCCAGAAAGCTCTAGCTCACCTGAGACTCTAAACAAATTTACTCAGAATATAAGGCAGGTAAAGAGGCCACGTGTGTTCTGGATGCCTGCAGTGAGCACTCTTTATTTATGCTACCAGTTCTTTTTGTTAGAAACTGGCCTTAGGATAGTGGAGCATATGATTACATTTATGTTATGTTTGGTTCATTGGAATGCATTGAAATGGAATGATCATTACACCAAAATGTCCATTCTGATGTTTGGTTCAATATAAAAGACTCATGTTTGGTTCAATAAACAAATTATGAAAAAATACATTGCAAATGGAATCATCATTATCATTGTAAGGGAATAATCATTTTATAAGAAGCCCAAACAATGACCCTTCCATTCTAATCTACTTTCATTCCAGTGAACCAAACACTACCTTACAACTTCTTTTGATGATAAAGTGTATAATTATTGCAGAATTCTTCTAATGCTGAGACGTCCAGCCGCCCTAAGCCTGAAAAAGAAGCAGAAAATGGTGCTGAAACATGGGAAGGGAAAGTTGATCTCTGGAAACCTTTAAATTTTTTGGTGGAAGTTGCAAATAGGAGTAAGTCTTCAAAGTATACTTCACAAGGGTCTGCTGCTAAATTGGAGCCTCTACATGCCCCTGACAGTGAAGGTCACATTCGCAAAACAAAAGTTAAGGAACATGGAACCAAACATAGAGTACAAGACAAAAAGGATAGCACTGATCCTGTCCCTCTGGATTCAGTCAAACCTAAAAAGTTGCGGAGGTTTTGCCCTAAAAAGGCAGCCACTTCTGGGGAATTAGGTGTTTCACCCCAAGCTGTGCTAGATGCTCCTAGTGCTAGAAGCGAAAAAAGAATTGGTCCAATTTGGTTCTCACTAGTGGCTTCTGAAGAGCAGTAAGAATCTACTTGTGCTCTGGATTATGTGATTTGGCTTATTTAGGAAGACTAAATTTTTTTTGTTTTTTTGTTTTTTTGGCCTTCTTCATTTTGTGATTTCTATACTTGGTTCAGGGAAGGCCATGCACCCCTGCCTCAAATATCTGCAAGTTACTTGAGAATAAAGTGAGTTCCTTTTAGCTCATTCACTTTTTTATTTATATTTATATATTTTTATTTTTATTAATATTATTATTTTTAATTATTTAGTAGCTACTCTTCATTATTTTGCTTAGCAAGTTTATTTTCCTTCTCATTTTTTGGTTGAAATGATATATGACACCTAGCGTTATAATAAATTCGTGCTTGAATTTATATGTTTAAGGTTGATTAGTATTTTTTTATGACTCCTGGTCTGTTACTAAGCTGTGCTTAGTTGTTAGCTATATACTACCTTTGTCTAAATAAGATTTTGTATGTAGACTTAGACTTGAGGGGAACGGTTGACACACCATTTTATGCATGCATCTGTTCAATAAGTTGCAATGCTACTTCTCAAAAGAATGTTTGTTATTTATCTGTGTTTATTAGGGGTGGGCGTGGGTTGGTTGCGGCTACGGAACCTCCAATCCGCCATCAGTCTGCCAGATTGGCGGTGATGGCGGATTGAGAAAAATCAATCTGCATCCATTTGCCAATCCGGCGGATGTGGATTGGGCAGATTAGCGGTTTGGCAGATGGATGCGAATCGATTTAGCGGTTTGAAATTTATAAATTTTCAACATAATTCAACTTGTTCATTTCCTCAAAAAAATAAAAAATAAAAAGAAGAAAGTATTACAGACACAGTCAATGACTTAAAAAAATATTACAATCACTGCATGCCTCATCCAAAGTAAGAAAGTTTGAAACTTTAAAATATCACAATCACAGCATGCCTCATCCACATAAAATATTACAATATGTAGTTCTTAAAATATAAAAATAATTCAAATCACCAAAACCATAAACAGAGCAATAGTAGAGATTGTATGTCTCTGTATTGTTACATTTACATCTGTTTTTGAAAACAAAAACTAACCAGCATATATCATATTTTCTATTTATTATTTTTAGAGATAGATTTAAAAACAAAAAAATATAGATAAATAATACGTTTATTTTTTTCAATTCAAAAAAGATATTCAAGTTGAAAACTTTTTTTCAATAGAATATTTAGACTCTTTTTTAATTGAAAACACAAACAGAATATTTAAACAAATTGAAAACATAAAATCTTATAAATTACTAGAGGTGTTCGCAGTTTGGCGGTTCGGTTGCAGCCAAAGGAATCTCAAATCCGCCATCAGTCCGCCAGATTGGCGGATTTTTTAAAAAGTGACCGAATCTTTACGATTCACGATTCGATTCGATTCACGATTCGGTACAAGGTCATTTCGATTCACGATACGAATCTCGATTTGACAACTATGCTTGAGGGGAACGATTGACACACCATTTTATGCATGCATCTGTTCAATAAGTTGCAATGCTACTTCTCAAAAGAATGTTTGTTATTTATCTGTATTTATTAGGGGTGGGCGTGGGTCGGTTGCGGCTACGGAACCTCCAATCCGCCATCAGTTTGCCAGATTGGCGGTGATGGCGGATTGAGAAAAATCAATCTGCATCCATCTGCCAATCCGGCGGATGTGGATTGGGCAGATTAGCGGTTTGGCAGATGGATGCGAATCGATTTAGCGGTTTGAAATTTATAAATTTTCAACATAATTCAACTTGTGCACTTCCTCAAAAAAAAAAAAAAAAGAAGAAAGTATTACAGACACAGTCAATAACTTAAAAAAATATTACAATCACTGCATGCCTCATCCAAAGTAAGAAAGTTTGAAACTTTAGAATATCACAATCACAGCATCCCTCATCCACATAAAATATTATAATATGTGGTTCTTAAAATATAAAAATAATTCAAATCACCAAAACCATAAGCAGAGCAATAGTAGAGATTGTATGTCTCTGTATTGTTACATTTACATCTGTTTTTGAAAACAAAAACTAACCAGCATATATCATATTTTCTATTTATTATTTTTAGAGATAGATTTAAAAACAGAAAAATATAGATAAATAATACGTTTATTTTTTTCAATTCAAAAAAGATATTCAAGTTGAAAACTTTTTTTCAACAGAATATTTAGACTCTTTTTTAATTGAAAACACAAACAGAATATTTAAACAAATTGAAAACACAAAATCTTATAAATTACTAGAGATGTTCGCAGTTTGGCGGTTCGGTTGCAGCCAAAGGAATCTCAAATCCGCCATCAGTCCGCCAGATTGGCGGATTGGAGAAAATCAATCCGCAACCGTTCACTCGTCATCACGCATCCGTCCAAAATGCGGCGGATCGGTTTGGTTTGGTCGGTTTTGGCGGATCGGTATATCCGCTGGTCACCCCTAGTATTTATCATGTCCTCGTAATTGATAAATGATCATTTATTTGACAATACACAATACTTACTGGTTGTTATGGTTCATTGATGGCATGATTGACACTTTTGAGGAAATATTGTAGAAGAAATGATGTGCTGTCCTTGATATCTTTTGGCTGTGCTATTGCTGCCTCTTTGGATTTGTGATAAGGGACCAAATCTTAATGAATCATTGTGGTATTTGAAACATGCTAAGCATTGTTGGACAAATTCGGGGTTAATTTCTCTCTCCTCAAGTCCATAAATCGTTTAGTTCATGTATTCAGTATGATATACTCTATCAAGATGTGTCATGTGTATATTACTTGCCTCTAAGAAGGCATGCTGACATCTTTATCCAAATCCAGCTGGTGTTTTTTGTTTTTTTGTCATGTAAGTTTGCCAAAAATTCATTCCAATTTTAAAAAATGTTTGACATGATATAATAAGAGGTTTGGAGGTGCCAACTTTAAGTTGCACCTTGAAGATCATTGAAGCCCCTTTGACTTGCAATCCAGAAACTGAATGGTCTTAATGATTTTTTTTATTTAAACAGTCATAATCCATTCACACGTCACTAGTATAAAGCCTGAATCAGGTTCCGATGTCCACTGGACCTGATTCTAGTGTTTGCTCACCTGAGTATTGTTTTAAAAATTGAATCCAACAGGAAGGACCCACTGAGCTGTATCAGGAAGTGAATTTTCCGCAAACCATGGATCTACCCAAGAAAAGATGAGAAAAAGAGACTGGTGTTGGTAGATTGCAAATATTGTCTGCATCTAGTGTGTTTTTTTGGGGGGTCTAAGTATCTTTATAGTTAATTTCCCTATTACAGGTTCACCATTGAGGCTTGAGTTCAGCTTCAATTCTACATATTTCTCTTTACCTAGCAGGCTCCTTTGATGACTTGTATGCCAACCTAGCACACTTTTTTTTTAGTACTTGGACACTATTGTTGGCATTTCTTTGCCCCAACATACTTCTTTAACAACATTGCACATAAATCATACTCATTGTTGTCCTAGGAGGCACAAACACAATATGGACATGTCTACATGACAATTTTCAAAAAAATCCAGGACATGACATGTGAGAGACATACAAAATATATAGTTTTATATTTATTATATGTCATATATATGAATATTTCGATTAAAAAAAATAGAAAACGCAACATAAGATTTATTCCTAAAGTCTAAAAGGACGAGGGATTAATAAGAGCTGCATCAACATGATGCACAGATCATATAACACATTTGAACTTGGTGTACCAATCATGCCACATGACAAACAGTGCCAGCATACATTTTATGGTCATTGTAGAGTTTGGCAATAACAAAACTATTCTGGCCTGCGGGACCTCGACCTAATAAACGTCAACAAGTACTATATGTCTGTGTATAGATTGAGTGTCATAAAATTTTAGCCAAAATTTGAGCTGCACCGCAACAAATGCGTGACGAAAGAGGAAAGCAATGCCTGCGAATGCGAGCATGATGTCGCATGAGGAGCACACTCCAATGGGAGGAGATTGCATGCTAGGTTGCGAATAAGACTAAAACGTACTTCTCATGATGGGCTGGGTTGTGTGCTTATGCAGGAGGGCAGGGTAGTCGTTTGCTTCTCTTATATATATATAGTGACTTAGTGTTTGACATAGACATGTTTAGAAGTGTCTATACTTCTTAGTCATCATCAACTCATCCTTATGGTGATTACTTGCAAACATGTTTTTCGCAATTTATAAAAGATCATATTTTATTTGGTAACGATTATGTTCATAATTTTCAATTTATATTTACAAAAAAATTGAAAACTGTAAACAAAAACTCGTTTGGTATCTATTTTTGTTTTCAAAAACTTGTAAACAATTTATCAAATTCTTGTAACCTCAAAAAAGTTGGTTTCACTTGTTCAGAAAAAATAGTCATTCGTTCCTCCTCCCACCCCCTCCCACCACTCATCACCACCATCGGCCACCACATCTAACCACCACCACCTTCAGTAACACCGCCGACAATCATCTACGGCTGCCGCCAACCACCTTCGATCAGTGGCAACCACCTTCAAAGACCACCTCTTGTCGTAAACCAGCTTCGGCCACCACCTCCCGCAGCCAACAACCACCTCTGACTACCACCAACCACTCCCATTGGCGGCAACCACCTCTTACCGGAAACCACCTCCAACCATCACCTACAGCGATTGCCAACCACCTCCGGCCATCATCTCGTCCCTTTGACAACCACCTTCTGCCAGTCATCCCTATCACTTGTGTTTAAAACTACTATTTAAAATACATGTGTACCAAATATGTTTTTTGTGTTCGTTTTTACCAAAAATGAACATAATCATGTTCAATGTTTATTGCAACAAAAATAGTAAACTGCAAACATTACCAAACGGCACCAATTTTTATTTTTTTTTTTAATTTTGTGTAAATCATCCAAGTGTCTGAGCCTTCAAGCTGGGAAAGAAAACTTAAAATTTATGAGTATGTTGTGCATAAAATTCATTCATGGAGGCAATGACTGTTGGAGGAACAGTTGGAGAAGTGATAGTTGTTAGCTAGTTCAACATGGACATAGCCTCTTCATGATTTTGTTTTTGTTATTGTACAGACATAGCTTCTTCATGAAAATGGTTGTGCTGCTTAAGTTTTATTTATTTTTCTATTTGTGATAACTTTTTTTCTTGGATTTATTATGCATTGCTTTTGTGCATCACAACACGCCCACTTGCGCAAACTAAAGTTAATTCTTAATTCTATTATTTCATGTATTGCAACACATCCATCTGAAAATCAGTAGTATGGTGACATTCATTTCATGGACATAATGTTCTATAATTGGCAAGCGTTATTTCTACATAGCATGGATGGTTTGACACTTTATAGCTGCCTTACATAGATCCTCTTTAATTTTATAGTAATGTACATTGATCTCAAAACATTGCAAAAGCATTCCTTCACTGCATCATGCTTAAATTTCGTAGCCTAAATCCTCTGCGGTATGTCTCCCCTCATGGATTATCGGAAGATTAGTTGCGGAATATGATCACTCTTTGGTATGTTTTGGCTTTTTTTTTTTTTTTTTTTTTTTTTGGGATAAATAAACACACTTTATTAGAACGCATCTAGGCGATGCAAAGAATACGAAAAGACAAATCCACAAAGGGAATAAAAACTAACAAATCTTGGTGTCTTTTGGCTTTCAATCTTTGTGCTTTCTCATTTTTACTTTTATTTTTGTGGAAGTCAAATTCTTTTGCATTTTATATAAATATACTTTCTATATATTCACTCTTAGTTTTATTTTAGTTTCAAGGGCCAAGACATTAGGTAGAACAAAATTCAGGTCAAACTCATGCTTTCCCATGCCCTGGCAATTATACTTCATGGAAAAATTACAAGAAAATATATTCATTCTTAGCCTTATGTTAGTTGCCTTGCCTTTGTTCTTTTCTATTGCTTGGGTGATTTGGGATAATAGGAACAACAAGGTAGCACGTGCTTTGGAAGTACATGTTCTTACAATAGATGAGTTCTTGGTATGGATGGAAGAAGTACCTGATTTTACCCATCGTTCAACAAGACTAATATTTCTATATCAAATATAATTTTATCACCTATGTTGGGTGAGTGTATGTCCTATGCAAGGTTTCCTGTTTTAGTATCCCTCCTCCATTGACCTTTACAGATGCCTTTATTAGTGTGCTATGATGGCATTTGCTAAGAAGAGCAGCAAATAAAACCACAGCCCATTGTGTTCATACCCATTGTGCTCACAGTAATTTGGGACATTTTGGGAAGTAATTTTTACTTGGTGTGAGCCTAAGAAGCACAAGAATGGACACGGGACACAGTGATTTTGAAAAAATTAGGATACGGACACGGCGAGAATACGACAAAGAATTTTATATATATATATTTTTTATTTGTTATGCATATGATTATAAATTTAGAGCACAAAGATATATGAGGCATCAATGCATATGTGGGTGTATTTTTTTTTTTTTTTTTCACTTCTCTATTTTTTATATATTTTAGTTGGACTCCAAATCAGTTTTCTAAAATTATAGGGGAAAAAAACTTATAAAGGCGTCTTGAGGCATGTCCAAACACATGACACGCATGTCCGTGAAGTGTCCCCAAAGTGTTCTACAAAAAAAATTAAAAGTTAAAAATATTGACACATCACGTGATGTGGCAGACACACGGACACGCATGTCTCCGGTATGTTGGTGTCCCGTATGTGTCCAACACGGACACGACATCCATTTTGAAGTGTCGGTGCTTCATAGGTGTGAGCTTTAGTCTTCTTCTTGTCGCTACAGAACAGTATGTAATCTTTTCTACTACCAGGTCTTCCATGCAGGACTAGTTATTCTGTGTATGCTTGTCTTAGGTGCATTTTATAAGCATTCTGGTTGCATCATTAGTGGTGGATTATGGAGAATGAAATTATGGAAGTTGAATACTGATGGTGTTACACTGCTTCATTGTATTTTGTTTGACATAATATGAAATCAATTTGACGTATTAAGTTTTTTGGTCAGGCCTGTCTGTGAAATGCTAGAAGAGGAATGCAATTATGATGTTCAATGGTGCCATTAGTTCCCTAACATCAGAACATTGTGTTATTGTATTACATGGATATGAGTTTCTTGCTTACACACTCTAGTTTGTAGTATTCACATTATTACCAGTTAGTGCATGATGTGATACTGTCTGGGACTGGCAGATCATTTGTTTTGATGGATGAAAGAAGTCAGTTACTAAATTACCTTTGACCCGAACTGAACAGTCCCTATGATCATGGAATTGGGTCTTTCCCTCTGATTGGCAATTGCATGTATTGTATGCTGGGGATTCACTATTTCCCCCTCAATACATGCCTCATCATTCAAATTACAATTTCCTGTTGGTGTGGTCATCCATCAGAAGCTAAACCATTCCTGTCAAGTCTCTTTCTAAATAGTTACCTCCTCAAAAGTCTCTCCCCGTTCGCTTGTCCGGATTGGATATAAGAGTTTGAGGAGGATATGTAATACCTAAGGAAAAAAATGGGATTTAATATATTGTAGGATACGAGATGAATTATATATACTGTGGGATCACTTATACTATGTTTGGTTAAGATAGAATATAGGATGAGATAAAAGGAAAGTGATTATTTTTTACCTTTGGATAAAAGATTCCCTATATCCAATGGTGGCGGATATACAATACCATTTGGGAGTATTGCATATCTCCCTTTTGCATCATATACTATCTGGACTCCCTATATCCGGAGCAAACAAACACGGGATATAGGGAGACAAGAAAATATGTGGGACCCACCTCGTATTATATCCGGCCCCACCCTCATATCCGCCCCTTATTGATTTTCTTTCTGGGAATCATACATTCTAGATCAGCCTAATGTGAGACCATTTAGTCAGAAGAGAAAGAGCTGTTTCACCTTGCTTACTGGTATTTAGGAGTTTTGACAGGCATTCTGAACTTTACTTGTATACTATCAGCAAGAAGCTAGGAAACAATTTCATGAAGAGTAAAAAATCAGTTGGCTTGATTTTTCAATTTCTCAAACCTTACTTATCATTTTATGTTTGCTTGCACTATTTTATCACTTTGCTTTGGAGGTAAAACAGTTACAGGAGCACTAAATATGTCAAATGCAACTAAGGCCTCATTTGGGAACTTGGCTTTTAGGCTAAAAAAGGCAAAAAGCTATTAAAAAATTTATAAAAAAAAAGTCACTAAAAAGCAAGTCATACACACCAGTCATTCATGTTTTCCTATACATCTAAAAAAAAAAAAAATCATTCCCTAACATGTTAACTTTTTTCACTTCATAAAAAGTCAAAAAGTCACTAAAAAAAGGCCAAACCCCAAATGGGGCGTAATAGTTGCAATAAATGTCAAACTAGTTGGCCTGAAATTAAGTGTTTCTGCCAGTACTTTTACAAAAATGATCTATTCAAGAACTTTAACGGGTTGCTTTTGTTACCGAGGTTGGACACTAATTAGCTGAAGATATTCATGCATTTGTTCTGTAACAGGGATGGGAATGTACCTGTTTCTTTTATCCAAAAGTACCTGATGAGGAAACTAGATCTTACAAGCGAAGATGAGGTAAGTGAATCATCTTACCTATTTTGCAAATATTATAATTTTGTTTATTAATCTAGTAAGATCTTGTACAAAAGAAAATGAGTCAGAGTCGGAGGTTGTTGAGTTCTGTTTAATTGCTGAGATGTGTAAAAATCTTTCTTTACCTTAGAAGCATTTGGTTTGGCTATTGTGAATGGCAAGCAGATTATATTTTAATGTGAATAGTTAGTTTGTGTTTGTGTTTGTGTTTGTGTGCGTGTGTAAACAACATAAAGAATTAGAGACAAAGGAAAATTTACGGTTAGAAAACATAATTTACATTATTCTACTTTAGATCTTAAATTACGATTATTATAATTGTTTGACATATACAATCTTAATATTAATAACTGGATTCAGACAGATTTAGACTTGTCAATTTAGCTAGAAGACAATCTTTTTTTTCTTCTTTTTTCAAGTGACTAGAGGGCATTGCTATTTGCGTGGAGGCAATTCTAGCACTCAGACAATAGGGTGTTGTTTCTTTTTTTGTCCCAGATGGTTTCTGAGTAAATAAGTTATGGCACTTAGGCCTGTTTATCATAGTTTTCTGACACCAACATTTTTTCTGCAGCAACAATACTTACCATCGATGCACAGTTATGACACTCTTGTTTTGCTCCTAGTTCAAGCATCTTAGATCACAAGATAGTAATGAAGCCTTCAACTATATATACCATGATGTGCTAAGCAAGGATTTGGACACGTGACACAATACGACACAAGCATGCCGACATGCCAATTTAATAAAAATGCAAGACACGACAAATGGGGGACACACAGAATTTATAGGGTTTTATATATTTGTTATATATATCATATGCATTAATATTTCATTCAAATAGGATGATTAGGTATAAATCTATATTGTTTCTTCTTTTACCGTTGTATCTTTTAATTATTTTGTTTAAACTTGTAATATGTTCTCATATGTGCCTAAGCGATGGACGTGTCCCCCAAGTGTCCAAAGTGTGTCTGTCTAGAATATTTAAAAAAAAAAAAAATAGTATAACACATTTGGACGTGTGTCCAACAATTGTTCGGAAGTGTCTAATGAGTGTCAGTGTCAAACATTGACGCGGACATGTTTCTTAGAATTGTCCGTGCTTCTTAGATGATGTGGAAAACTTATTCCATGTCAACTAAGATATTTCCCTCCTTCCCATGCCCTGTTAAAACTAACTTTTTGGCAACTGGTGTTGAAATTGCTAGTTCTCTTTAGAATAGCATTGTGCTAGCTGTATCCTTGTTACTTAATAATTTCTCACTTGTTGCTTACTCAAGGCACCTGTGGTGGGAGAGTAGTAATAGTAAATGGTATTGATGATTAGCTAGTTACGCTTATTTGGTGCTTTGGACAACAATTAAATCCTAGAACTTGTTCCACTCATTGCTCTTTGGTGCTGAAATGATGACAATGTGGTTAGAATTTTAGACAGTGACTTATATGAGCTCACCTGATAGAGCTTTGTGATTAGTTATTTTGGTTCCCTTGAAATCCATTTTCTCACAAGGTAAATAAGGCCAGTATGGATGGTACCTCTCTTTACTTCATATATTAATCTTTAGTAGCTGTCAGTATTTTGAACTTTCGTATGTCTCTCACTAGGATTTGAATGGATCCACACCCCCAGTTTGGAGTTGTTTTCACTAACAGAGAGTTTATCAACATAAATCACTTATATTGTTATTTGTTAGATGTTAGCTTAGACTTCATACTTTGATATGCTAACTAGGGAATCAATCAAATAAGCTCTTTAAAGTTCAAGGAGTTTATGTGTGCCTTTATATATCTCTAATTGAAGCCCAAAACCTTCTTTCCATTATTATTCGGCAGTGGAAGCTTTATATTTCAAGCTACTTGCATTCCTTATATACCTCTTATCACTGTTCCTTTTGAGCCTTTCTAAAACCCTTCCACTGAAATTTTTAATTTGATCTTGTGAGAACACATCGCACCCTTCTCTCTGGTAGGTAAAATTCCATCCTCTTAAGACTTATTTATCTTTGTTCAACTGTTTTTATTGCACTCGAGAGGTGGCACTTACAACGTGTGTGTGTGTGTGTGTGTGTATGTGTGTGTGTATGTGAGAGAGAGAGAGAGAGAGAGAATAACTATCTAGTTTATGGGCTTGTGTGAACAATTAAGTCAAGTTCATGGCCTAATGCGTGATAAGAGAAAAGATTAATTACGTAGCTCAATATAGAAGCTCAAGTTGGACTGAAAAACCTTTCTGAGTTAGAATCATTGTATAGTTAACGACTAAGCTTTGAACAAACTATAATTTTCAGTTGACAATAATGGCAAAGATAATGTGGAAGACCCTAGAAACCTAGAATTCTTCCCAAAGAGAAATATGTCTTGCTGGAAAAAAATGACATCCAAACTTGCAAAACAACTCTGGCTTTCCACAAATTGAAAATAAAAAATATCCAAACCAAAAAAGGACACCGATTCTTTTAACTGAATTTTTTGGGAACACTTTAAGAACAACAAACCAAATGAACTTGATCCCTGTTTTCTATAACTATGATTCCTCATTTACCTGATTGTACAGTTGATTTTTGTTGCAGGTTGAGATCAAATGTATGGGTCAATCAGTACTCCCCACATTGCAACTGAATAATTTGGTCGATTTGTGGATACAAACTAATTCAACATCACAAAGGGTGCCAGCATCAATTGGCTCCTCTGCAAAGGATTTTGTGATGGTGTTGGCTTATGCTCGCAAAGTTCCAGCTTCATAAAACATGCTTTCCTCCATTCTTTTATGCTTCAAATTCCTCAATAACCCATATCGTATGATCTCATGAGCATGCATTTGCATTGTGCAACAGTTTCTTACTACTGTTACGATCACCTACAGTAGGGTACGTTTATGAACTACCAGTGTACCCTCCTGATGAATTGAAATGACAGCAAGTGTTTTCAATACCTTATTGCGATGTGCTAGGATTGGCAATTGATTGGTTGTTACAATTATTGTCGAGATGTCAAAGCTCTTGTATCTATAGATGTGTTTGGTAGTTCATCTGTAAGTGAATTTTGACAATGTTTCACTTCTTTTTTTTGTCACCTTCAACTTGTAACAATGTATTTTTATTGAAACCAATAGGATTTTGTTTCTGTGGTTCTGTGCTTATTAATCTTTACACAAATGAGTACATTTTTTTTCCCCTTCACTTTAGGCATTTTTTGTGTCTCTTGATGCCTCCCATTGATTATCTTATTATTTTTTTTATACAACATTGAAGTACCAATCTAAATGCTCTAAATGCATTGGAACAATTGTGGTCAAGCTGCTCTGGGGAACTTGTTCCCATCATTGATGCCTAAGCTTTAGATGGTCTGGGCAGATCACAAAACATCTGTATCTTGGGACAAAACATTATGTTGAAATTACACACTCCAATAATATATTTATTTTTTCATTTTTATGATGGAGAACTTTAATTGGTTCTACAAATTGTGCTGATTGGTAGCTGGGTAGGTATTATGTGTTGCATTAGAGTAGTGGTAACGATTTGTCTTCTCTTTTTTCTTTTTCCCCTGTTATATGCCCTCTTAAATTATTGATTCAAACACAAACACAATCTATATATATATTAGTAAAACAAATATGGCATTGCATTTGCCCTTTTCTTATATGAAATATTCTTATTTGCCCTTTTTCCTCCTACGCAATGTGTGGCCTCGTTTGGTTTGTTTCTTGAGGTAAAAATATTCAAAAATTTGTTTGGTTAAAAAATTTTAAAAAACAAATCCAAAATCACTTTTTTCTGTATTACATATTAATCGATCACTTTTAACCCAAAATCACTTTTTTCTATATTAAACATTAATAAATCATTTTTTCCTTCATATCCATCTATTCAATTATAAAAAATATACATATATATTAAATCATTCAAAATTTTAAAACTATTTTTAAAATATACAATCAAATAAAATTTTAAATTTTACTCTTTTTAAAAAATTATTTTTCAAAATTATTTCACAAATGTACAATTTATCCAACTGCACAGTGTTAGTCCCCAAACCTCAAATGCCATCCAAATTATCTTCACCAAGCTCATGCAAACCGAGAAATTATAATTTGCTCTACAAGTAAATCCAAATGCAGCTCCAACATGCATTTCATTGGTTAAAATAGTATATCTTATTATTTTTGGTCTCTTATGAGGAAATAACATGACAAGTGTCATAATTTGTGTGACATGAAATGTGGAACAATGCTTCTAAACCACTAAATAACTTCTCATGCAAACCAAAGACTTATTACCACATCCAACGCACACCTCCCATTGGGAGTTGTATTCAAGGAAGGAATATATATAATTTTCCTCACCACAATGTGTTCTAGTATGAGATAAAGAATAACCCACAGCCCCTCAATTTTGCCTTGGCATAAATTCATAAATTTATCCTATTTTGATTGCAAATTTCCTCTTTCTTGTTTTTTCAGGTGCAATTTAATGGCAAATATTGTAAGAACTAGTAGTCTCAAAAAACATAACATTTACTAATAAATATGTCTTCGTTCGTATAGCGTGGCAAGGAGAGCAACCAAAAAACCAAAAAAAAAATACACTACTACACTACTATTGACAAAAGGAAAAGAAACTAGGCTGGTCAAAAACTAGCTTCCCATACACCAAACCATGATATATTGTCACTAGATGCGCATGATTTTAAGATCCTTTCCCACTGGAATTCCAAACTCAGCTCCAACAGCTTCCCTGGCATAACAATAGCCGACAAATCACCAACAGAACCATATAAATATTACAGTTGTTTGTACTTGAAGAGGCAGAAATGGGGCACAAGATTAACTAGTAAATAAATTCACACAAGATAAATGACATGTCCACAACAAAAGTGCATTAAAAGAATGGTTTCGAGCACCAAAAAACAGTAGCCCCATCCACGGTTTTTGAAGAAGTGTAAAAAAAAATAGAAAATATTTTGAAATTCATAAAAAGTACATTAAAAATTTAAGTGCCTTGGAATTTATGTACTTTTTGTCATTTTCTTGTGCATAGGGGCACTTGTTAGCAATACTAATAAAAATATTCCACATTTTATAGTGCACACTGAGAGGGTAATTTATGTGAATACACTGGGCCGAGCTAAGTCAAATCATTTTAATCATTGGACCGGGCTGTAGGCCGAGGTACGAGCATGGGTAGCTTGGTCTTGGGCCAAGCAAACATTGAGCCAGTCAGATATGTCGCTAGGGCCTGGACCAAGCTGTCTAGACGTAGCGGACCGAGGTATCACTGGTGCAAAGGGCCAAACTAAGCTTAGCTCGGTAGAGTGTCATCTTGGTTCGGTCAAGCGCAAAACAGAGCCAAGTTAGCTTGGTTGACCGTATTGACAGCCGAGATAAAGGATTTGAACCATCTCATTTGGTTGGCAATGAGTAGGGTGTTATCATAATAGGCATTATCCTTGGAAATGTGATTTCTAGGAGTACGAAGAGTTAAGAGTCCTACTAGGATTGTGCCAGACGGAATTTATAAAAGCTCATGACAAGACCTATGCACAGATATTGCAATTCTTACTCTTGAATACACAAAACTTTTGTGTCTATTGTCTATTTTGCTAACTTCGGCATCAGAGAAGTTTCCGACACACACCCGCCAGCTGACTCACGTTTGTGTTTCAAATAGCAAAGCGACAATGTTTGGAGGTACGCCAACAAGATTATATGAGAAGATTTTTCTGTGCTTGTACACACACGAACAATAAAAATAGGGGAAACTCTACATAAAAGTCTTGCAAAAACAAACACACAACTTCTTTAAATAAACTCATCTCCATGGATTTATGTTTTCAAGTGAAAGATCTACATTGAACCACAAAATTCTGCATGAAAATTAATTATGTTCGTATATCGTACTCTAAAAATAAAATGTACATAATTTCTGTGCAATTTCTGGTATCATTCAACCAACATGAAGCACACAACCAAACTGATTTCCACCATGGTCAACAAGAGTGCAACTGAATACCAAATACTGCAAATTATATCTTGAATAAGCCCATTGTTAACTAAGATTTGCAAAAGGAGCTAACCTGAAAGCAATTTGAAGCTCCTCGTTGTCAGGATCCAGCTTCAAAGCATCACAAAATGCCTCCGCCGCTCTAGGAAAATTCTGAACCAACATAAAACGACACCACTATCAGAATAGAAAAATTTTAAAAGTTTTAATGACTGAACAAAACTAAGATTTAAAAAAACAAGCAAACAAATAACAAATTACAATTTGCATACTTTGAGCAGTCTCCATGCTACACCTTCCCGGTAGTGTGCCTTCGCCCAATCAGGCCTCAGCATAATGCAGGCCTCAGCATCAGATAAAGCAGGACTTCCCTCATTCAAGCGAGCCCAGCACAAGCTCCTGTTGGATAATACAGTTGCATCCAATGGATCTACAGTGATTGCCTATACCCTCATCCAAAAATGTAAATTAAATGTGGGCAACCAAAAAACCTATGTAAAACTAAAACACTTGGAAGTGACGAGATTAACAAAAACAAGCATCATTAGAACATACCAAAAGTAAAGCACAAATCACTACTCATGCAAATTTAATAGAAATAGCAAGACAACCAATAAAGCCAGTACAGAATACACAACAATCAGCTTACCTGTGTGTACCAAAATATTGCATCCATATAATCCTTTCTCTTGAATGCTTCTTCTCCCTTAGATTTTGACAACAGAAAACTCTCTTTCCTATTTTGTTCCCTCTGCGAGAATGTTTTGAACAACAAAAGTTTGAGATGAGAAAAACTGCTGTGCTGGTACTTTATCAAATGAATGAACAGGTTTCGAACGATTAATGATATCAAGTAGAACAAATCAAACTAAGCCAAAAAAAAAAAAAATTTGAGTACAAAATAAAAACTTACTACAAAAAGAATGGTGATGAGAACTTAAGAATGTCATAAATGAAACTATCCAGGATACAACCATAGAAACTTAACAAAAGAAGAGAATTAGCAAAATCAATATCATTTAATTTATTACTAAAAGTTGAATCAGAATGTGTAGGAAACTTATCAGCTTCATAAATGCAAATTTCAAGGATACACCCATATGAACTCACAGTATAAAAAAACTAAAAATTTTAAAAAAAAAACACATACAAACTACCAAACAAAAGATGCGAAAATCATCAAAATCACCATCATCACCTGTCTTCTAAATTCTTCCGAGTGGACATACTTTATTATCCCAGCAAAGCTCCAATCCAGAATAGTTGGAATTTGAGAAGTCCTTGGTAAGAGCATCATCACTAATTCGTGATTACCATGCAAGGCCGCAAGTTCCAATGCTGTCAAACCATCCTGTCATAAACAATAACAATGATTAAAATTCAAAAAAACTAAATAAAAAGTTACAAAAATGATTTTGAATAAAAACACAGGAGAGGCGTAGAATCACATTATGAATGAATGATTACATACAACTCCCTTTAATGATAATTTTATTTTATTTTATTTTTAAAACTCCACTTCAAACAATTTCTTCGTCATTTCAAAAGATAGAGTTTGTTCTTAGATAAAAAGTTTTTATCCTGTTCATTTCACCAAATTGAAGAGTGTTTTTATTGATCCAAGTGAGATGAGTGCCAAATGAGAAATGATAAATTGAATCCAAATAAGTTGTAATACAGCTCATTTTGCTAAATTGAATCACATGTTTTTATTTATCCAAGATGCAGAAATTTATTTTGAATTTATTTGGATTTCTTTGGTATTTCAATAATTCAAAAAAAGGGTTATTACATAATGTAGATTGGGAACAAACAGAAAATTTGGCAAGCAGCTCCTTTGTGCTTGGTACGGGTGCTCAAAGGTCAGGATCAGGGTTGGGGTCAAGGTGCATGTCACCCCGAAGAGGATAGTGTTGCCAAAATCCCATATGCTTTTCACTACACATGGTTTTGAAATCAACTGAGCAAGTTGGGTAGATTGGAATATAGATGCAGACAGGGTTGGCAGATTGGACCTTACTGTTTGGTTCTTTTTGGACATTTTTTTTCAATTATTTTCCATTCTAGTTGGGCTTTCTTTGCCCTTTTTCTCAGTAACTTTATTATTTTTGTTTAAAAAAAATAAAATAGGGCTTATGTTTGGGTCTAATTTGTCGTCCTTTTCAATACTTCAACAAATAAATATTAAAATAGATATATCAATATTTTAATTGGAAGTCTAATTGCATGCTGTGGTACTGGGTTCCGCAGATGGAATCCTGTATATCCCAAAACCCAACTTTTTGAGAATTCAACAGCCCGTCCATCTCGGGTTGGGAGAGTCAGTTGGATGTCTGCTCAGCGCTAGTGCTGAGTGTCGTACAGAGGTAAAAAGGCAGTCTTTCCTTTGAAGATACTCAAAATTCAGTGTAAATAACAGGCTTTTGAACCCACTTACATAGTTGGGTGGTGTGCTAAGGTAAAACCATAACTTAATGGTTTTCTGAATTTTGTGAACGTTGTAGAATATTAACAATGTGAAAAAAAGTCAAAAACTCACTAAGTTAGTGACATTAAGATTTGCTCCTGCCTTCAACAAGCATTTAATAACTTCTGTTTCCCCTTCACAAACTGCAATTGTTAATGGCGTCTGTCCACGCGAACCAAGGTTTGGATTAGCTCCTGCCTACACATAGTAGTTAAGTTCAGGAGATTTAAAAAACCCACCTAACTGCATGCATTAATGTAAAAACACAAATTCCTACACATCAGAGCTAAATCGGGAAAAATTAACAGATCAAGCAATTTTTTTTCTGAGGCATTGATATGTGCGAGTATACTTCAGTGGAATGGTTCAGTGCTGTAGCATCCCCATGGGTGACATTACTGACAATAATAACAGTAATGCAATTTGTTTCCAAGGCAAGGACAGCAGTCATTCTATTATAAAATAATAAAATAAGGAGGCAATAGGCAACGTAGTACACAAGGCTCCAGCCAATGCAGGACCTACAAACACATGAATAAGCTCTTGCTGCCACAAAGATAAATGGGTTAATTACATAGATACCCCATCAACTATCACTTTATCCCTCCACTTCAAAACCTATATTCAAACCCCTCAACCATAAAAAATTATACAAGTGCCTCAATTTCTGGAGAGATAAAAGTGATGCAATTATATAGTTGGGAGTCCAAATGTATTTTGAAGTTGGAGGGTGAAGTGATATTCTGTGATAGTTGAAGGGATGTCTATATAAACAACCCAAGATGAAAACTAAAAAGGTAGGAAAAAATACCAGCAGCCCTTACAAAGTTCCACACTAACCAAATTTCATAGATTGACCCCTTCATATTGTTTGAAAGAAAACAAAAATAAAAAAGACAAACATTTATTATGTTATTATTGTAAAATTGTAAATCAGAATGGGAAGCTAAACCACACCCAACAAAAAATCATTAATCAGTATGCCCAACCTCTTGCATAAATGTAAAAGTAGAAATAATATCATTCAAGAAAAAAAAAATATCACAACATTGAAACACAGTACCTTGAGCAATAAACTTGTGCATTCGAATGACCCAGCAAGGATGGATACCACCAACGGTGTAAAAATATGATGACAAACCGAATTGGGCTGGATAACAGTAATGCAAATAATAGATTCAGACTTCATTATATAATAATTACTAAACGTAACAACAAATAGATGAAAACAGTGGAAATCCCGAGGTTGCTCATTAGATTCCAGATGTCTCTTCCCGAACAATTAATTCATAATAATAATCCATGTCTTTAAGGAAAGATACTATTTAATGAACAAACTATGACGGGCTAGCAAATATGACAGATATTTTTAAAAAGCAAAAATGAAAGCACAACAACCAAAAAATACACACAATAATACAGATGTGGCCATGCCATTTTGGTAAATAAATGCAATCTTTGTGGGTGTGTTGTCTTAAAGTAAATGGTCTATATTGAGCCACATCATTATGTATAGAAATTATGTATGAATTTTTTTGTTTGTATATCATTACTCATATATATATATATATAGAATAAGGTGAATAGAACAACAAGAACCAGAACATCACGTATAAATCATGTTGTTTCCTGCCAACACAAGTTCTCAACAGAGTACCTTCATAAATTTATTTATTTCTCATTTTTCACAAACTAGAATAAAATTGATAAAATCGAAAATAACATCTGATTTCAGTGAAATACTTGCCTATTTAAGAGTTAATTCCCAAGTATGGAGATATGTGATCCAAAACATGTGCATACCAATTTTGGCATAAAGATTCAACATACAAGTCACAACTTTACAATTTTATATCTTTAATATTGATATTAATTTGTTCTTAATTATAGATTTATGAAGAGTCTCATTAAAATTTGATTTCAATTTACTAGTGATTCTAGTTTCCTTTTTTTATTAGGGTTTAATTTTCTATTTTAATTAGGATTGACGACCTATAAATTTTGTGCCATCCCTCCTCAGGAGAAGACAAGAAGCAAAGAAAACTGGTAATGAAGCAAGGGAATATGGGTACTGTAAGATTTCTGAATAGCTTTCTGTATCTCGTATATTAAATGTGTATCAATACAATGTGTACATCTGATATATATAGCAATTCCAGACCTAATCCTAAATAGGAAACAAGAATAAATCCTAAACCAATCCTAAATAGGAAACAATATTCACAATATTAATATTATTCTCACACCCCCGCTCAAACTCAAGGTGTTTGGGCAGGAAACACTGAGAGTTTGCCAAGAAGAAACTGAAATCGAACAGTAGTGTGAGTCTTGGTAAAGAAGTCAGCAAGCTGTAGAGCTAAAGAGACAAAAGGAAGCGAGATAGAACCAGACTGCAGATGTTAACAAACAAAATGACAATCAATCTCAATGTGCTTGGTCTGCTCATGGAAGACGGTGTTATGTGCAATCTGAATAGCACTGCGGTTGTCACAATAGAGGGAGGTTGGAGAAAACTGAAGGACGCCCAAGTCAGAGAGAAGACAACGAAGCCAGACAACTTCAACAGTAGCATGAGCCATAGCACGACACTCAGCTTCAGCAGTAGAGCGAGCAACAACGGTTTGTTTCTTGCTTTTCCAAGAGATCAAGAAATCGCCAACAAACAGACAGAAACCAGACGTGGACTTGCGATGAATAACATCACCAGCCCAATCAGAATCAACATAGGCCATCAAATCCAGAGAGGAAGTGGAGGACAATAGTAAACCCTGAAATATAGTACCTCAAAGATAGTGAAAAACCCGAACTAGTGCCGCCCAATGTGTGGAGCGAAGAGCATAGACAAATTGGCTAACCATATGAACAGCATAGACAAAATCAGGATGAGTAACCGTCAAATAGATTAAGGAACCTACGAGCTCTCGATATAAAGTAGGATCATCCAGAAGAATACTATCAGTAGTGTTGAGCTTTACATTAAACTCAATGGAGGTATCAGAAATCTTAGTGTTAGTAAGACCAGCACGATGAATAATCTCATTGGCATACTTAGCCTGAGAGAGAAAGTAGCCCTTGGGAGAAGAAGTTACCTCAATACCAAGAAAATACCGCAACGGGCCCAGATCCTTCATTTCAAAAGTGCATAAAAAATGCTGCTTGACCTCAGATATAGCAGAAGAGTCAAAAACAGTGATGATCATATACATACAATAATAGCACAACAAATCCAGCAGAGGTGTGGAGAAGAAACAAAGTAGAGTCCTGGGCACAAGAATTGAACCCAAGCTCAGTAATAACAGTTTGAAAGCAATCATTCCAAACACGAAGAGACTGCTTCAGACCATACAAATTACACTGAAGGCGACAAACCTGTCCAGAGAAATGGTGAAGGTCAGGAGGAGGACGTATATAAACCTCCTCAGTGAGCTGGCCATTAAGAAAAGCATTCTTAGGGGTGGTTTGAGATTGTTATAAATAAGTGCACTTTTTGACTTTTTATAAAATATAGGTTGGATATGAATTGGGTTTGAAGTAATATGGTAGAGAGGTGATTAACTTAGGCCAAGTTTGGCATGTCTTGAAAAAGACAAAAAGCAAAAAAGTCAAAAAGTTACTATCCTATTTAAGTCACATCATCTTATTTAAGGAGTTGTTTGGGATAATCTAAATAAGTGCACTTTTTGACTTTTTATAAAATATAGGTTGGATATGAATTGGGTTTGAAGTAATATGGTAGAGAGGTGATTAAGTTAAGGCCAAGTTTGGCATGTCTTGAAAAAGACAAAAAGTCAAAAAGTCACTATCCTATTTAAGTCACATCATCTTATTTAAGTCACATCACCTCTCTAACACAACACTTCAAACCCAACCCATATTTTATAAAAAGTCAAAAAGTGCACTTATTTAGATTATCCCAAACAACTCCTTAAATAAGATGATGTGACTTAAATAGGATAGTAACTTTTTGACTTTTTTAGTATATGCCTAACAAGACCTTAACATCCATCTGGTAAAGAGGCTAAGAACGAACAGCAGCAATGGAGATCAAAGTACGGACAGTAGTCATCTTGACAACAGGAGCAAAGGTCTCCTCATAATCAATACCATATTCCTGTGAGAAACCTTTGACAACCAGACGAGCTTTGTAGCGCTCAAGAGAACTATCAGAATGAGTCTTGACTTTGTAAATCCATTTGCAACCAACGAGATTCTTACCAGCAGGCAAAGGAACCAACTCCCAAATACTAGTTTTCTGTAAAGCAGACAACTCATCCTCCATAGCTTGAATCCAATGAGGATCCTGACAGGCCTCTTTGTAAGACTGAGGTTATGGAAAAGAGTGAATAGCAGACAAAAAAGTACGATATGAAGCAGAAAAACATATATTAGACCAACCTAACCTATTTGGAGGATGACGCGCTTGAGTAGGATATCTATGTGCAGTAAGATCAGAGTCGCAGAAGCAGGGGGATCAACAGTAGGGGTAGAGACAACTGGTGGAGGAGGAGCCTTACGACGAGAATAAACTAACAACGGAGGAAGAAAAGAAACTGAAGGAGGAGAAGCAGCCAGAGATGAAACAGGAGGAGAAGCAGAAACAAGCTCAAGAGGAACTGTGGAGATGTACTCATCACACGGTACCTCAAAAGGAAATGGGTCAATGTGTCAAATCCTCTTTAGAAACTGGAGCAGTGACAAGAAGAAGCTGAAAGTAAGGCAGACGTTCGAGAAAAGAAACACGACGGGAGACATAAAGACGACGGGAAACAGGGTCATAACACCGATAGCCTTTGTGAGTAGGACTATAACCCAAAAAGACATAGAGGACAGACCGGACACTAAGTTTGGTCCTATCTTTGCAGGGAAGAAGGACAAAACAGGCAGACCCAAACACACGAAGGGGAAAGTAGTTAGGAAGTTGGGAGAACAAAGCCTCATAAGGAGACCGACCAGAAAGAATGAGAGTAGGCATGCGGTTGAGAAGAAAGGCAACAATAAGAACTGCCTCCCCCTAGAATGGAGTCGAAACTAAGGCAGTGAGAAGAAGAGATTTAGCTGTCTCAAGGAGATGACGGTGTTTACGCTCAGCTTAACCATTTTTGGTAGGTGTATTCGTACAAGAAGTTTGGTGAATGGTACCCAAATTGGCTAAATACTCACAAAACTCAGTTTTAAAGTATTTCCCACCCAAGTCAACACTTTAATTGTTGGCCAAAATTGTGTAGTAATCATAGATTGAAAGCTACAATATATCTGATAGAAATCCGACTTATGAGTCATAAGATAAACCCAAGTGTAACGGATGCAGTCATCAACAAATGACACATAATATGCAGAACCCCCTTTGGTGAGAACAGGAGAAGAGCCCCAAACAAGGGTTGTTTAGGATGACCTAAATAAGTGCACTTTTTATCTTTTTACGAAAAGATGTGCAGAAAAGTAGAGGTGATGTGATGGAAAAAAGATAAAAAGATGGATTATTTGAGGTATGCCAAACTTGGCCTAAGTTCACTAGGAGAAACTTTACCCAAGATACCTGATTGAGCTAAAGACCATAAACGGTCAGCAGACAAATGCCCTAATCTAGAATGCCACAAGTAGAAAGGACTGGAGAGAGAATCTAACTGAAAAGAGGAAAAGACAGTCGGAGAGGTAGTCAAAGGCAAATGCAAACTCTCTACTACATAGAGGTCCCTAACACTATGACCAGTCTCAATCTGCTGCTTAGACATCCGATCCTGCACAGAACAAATAGAAGAGAAAAAGATAACATCAAAACCAAAGGCGTCAAGCTAACTGATAGATAATAAACTGACAGATAACTGAGAAACATAAAGAACAGATAGAATAGAGACAACAGCTATAGCAGACGGTAAGACAGAACCAACAGATATAACAAATATACCAGACCCAGTAGCATCATTGACAGTAATAGGAAAAGGAGAAAGAGTACAATTTTGAAGTAAGAAGAGATGGGGAGTCATATGTTGAGAGACACCAGAGTCAAAAAGCCAAACAGACAAAGAAATACATGAAGAAGACCCAAGCAAATCTGAATGAAGAGAGGAAACAATAGAGGCAGACAGGATTGGCTAGGAGGTAGACAATGTATGTTAAAGCTAACTAATCTGAGCAGTCAAGGAAGCTAAGTCAGGATCAAGAGCCAAAGCAGATGCAGTAGAATCGGCGGGAGACCGAATGGTACTTAGAGGAGGAGCACAGAACTTAATCGACAATTGCTGAGAAGGCGAGGCAAACACAGACAAAGCAGACAAACATCCCTTCTTGGGACAATGATACTTCCAATGACCCCTCTGATGGCAAAAGGTGCACTCATCTGAAGCCAATGGCCCTTTCTTGGGATTTGTAAAAGATTGAAGCTTATGGGTATCCGACATCAAAGTGAACCAAAGTTAGAGAATTTTGGGGTCAAATTATAATAACGAGAAATATACCACTATCTCAGTACTTAGAACACACAAGGGAGAGAGCTAGTCCAAGTGTAATAATCAATGAAATTTTGGGGTCAAAGTGTAAATACCAACAAATCAATTATATGTATCAATACCAGGACTGATTGCGAACCAAAAAAGCTTCAAAAGACAGGACGGAGTCGTAATGGCTGAAAACAATCGCGAGGTGAGTCGCGATGGCTGTGGACGACGACGGAGGACAATCGCGACCTGAATCATAAGCACGATGATGACGTTTGCGAACCAAAGGGACTGAGTTCGCGAACCAGAAGTACTAGAACTGAGTCGCAACCAAGCAGGGAGCTGAAGCTGATCGCGAGTTGCTGATGATGACTGAAGATGATCGCAACCCATGAACCAGAGAGACCCACAAACCCTAAGTCACGACAGTGAAGAAGACCAGAGAATAGAGACTACTTCAAACAACAGGCGACAACTTCAAACAACAGGCATGGACGCCGGCCAGACTTAGGGTTTCGAACATGGCTCTGATACCATGTAAGATTTCTGAATAGCTTTCTGTATCTCATATATTTAATGTGTATCAATACAATGTGTAATCTGATATATATAGCAATTCTAGACCTAATCCTAAATAAGATACAAGAATTAACCCTAAATCAATCATAAATAGGAAACAATATTCACAATACTAATGAACTTGTTGTGCGGTAGATTATTAAGTTTTTTCAATCCATTACTACATTTTATTAATCGATTTGAGTTTATCGCCCCGTTTGTTTTGGGTGAAAGAGAGGGTATTAGGATTACTAATACCAAGGTATTAGAAATAGCCTTGTTTGTTTTGGGAGAAGGCCTTGGGACTATTAGTCCCTTGGTATTACTAATACCCTTGGAGAGGGGATTGGTAAGGAGGAGGTAGAGATGGTATTAGAAAAATAGTGAGGGGATTAGAAATTTTTTTATTTTTTTTATTTTTTATATATGGGAAATTTTTTTTAAAAAATAATTTTTAATTTTTTATATTTTTTTATTTGTTTTATTATTTTATATAAAAATAATTTAATAATTCCTCACTACTAATCCCCTCACTATCAATCCCCTCACTACTAATCCCCTCACTATCAATCCCATCACTAACAATCCCCTCACTATTAATCCCCTCACTATCAATCCCCTCCATTTTATCTCTGGAAACAAACGGGGCCTATAAGTTTGTGTAATTAGGGTTAAAGCCCTAGCGTTCTTCCTCTCTCCCTTCTCTTTTTTTTCTCCCTTATGGCTCTACATCACGTTCCTTCCCTTCCCCACTTTACTTGTAATTGCTGACCACTCCAAAGTGAAAATATTTGAAGGGAAAACACTTTCCATATAAAGTGACTATATAATAGCTTACATTAGCATTTCTATCTAACAAGATTTTCACAGCTTCTTTCCTTCCCTTAGCTGCAGCACACTGTAGTGGTGTCCCAGAATCAGATTTTGCATCTACTTCAGCTCCTTTTGATATCAATAGCCGCAAAAATTCTTTATGACCTGCAAAATACAACCAATGCATAACCAAATGCATGTTCATAGTTGATGGACAAATATCTAAGATGCAGAAACATCTAGGTAAGCCATTACATAGAATCATATAGCAGCACAAAGCAACTGAGAGAGTTAAAGCACCATGTGGAACAACTATTGCATTGGAAAGAATAAAAAAATCAAACAAAAAATCCAAACAGAGTGGTAGCACCAGAACTATCAATAAACATCCGAACAGAGTGGGTATAACATTCTCCATGTTTTCTCCAAACAAAAAATTTAACATAAAAATTCTAGTGCCACCATTTCAATCCCCATCATGGAAAAGTGGGATGGCCAAAAAAGTAACATATCAAACAAGGAAGTAACATTTTTTAAACATCCTTGATCATGCAACATCAAGAGTCTTCATAAAAAAGTTCTCCATTAATGGAAAACAAGAGAGAGATGCAATCCAAATTCACACAAGTTAATTCCCAAGACACTTGAATATTATTTTACCCATCAATTTCAAAACCATACATTTGGACCAACTAAAATTATATCACATTCACACCCACCACAAGAGTGCTGCTTTTGTGAGTTATTAAAAATTGAGAGTTCTAAATTTATGGTTTTAAAATTGAAAGGTTGAAATGATATCCATGATAGCTGACAGGATGACCATGTTAATTAACCCAATTGTCAATCTTGAACAACAAAAAAAATATGAAATGCCCAATTTTTAACAAGGAGATGCAACAGACCTTTTTCGGCGGCATAGTGCAAGGCAATAAATCCTTTATCATTTGCCATATTGGGATTTGCACCATTTTCAACAAGAAACACAGCAGTTTGATAATGCTGCCCTATAGTAGCATGATTTAAAGGAGTGTCACCTGCAAAAGACCATAATATATGCACTGACCTCAACAATGTTACCATTATAAAGCCATATTGCACCCACAAACACACACACCAAAAAACACAAAACAAAACAAACGAAGGGGAAAAAACAAGTGAAAATGGGGTTACAAAAAATACATATTGGATAGGAGTAAAAGCTCACACAACTGCTTCGAATGGAATCCACAGCCATTAATAAATCAGGCAAGAGAAGATGGCAATAATCATACACTGGCGATCCTTTTGGAACAATTTTACACTTTCACATTTCCCATGGATCCTTTGTGACCAACAGATTTAATTTTGAACAAATTTACAAGATACATAAACCAAAGCATGGAATATAGATCAATAGCTCAGCTCGGAACGTCTGTGCAGAATATACAAATCCTTTCCTCGCATTCAATGCCATTAGCTAAGTATAAAAACAATCCAACCTCCACCACGTTCAAATAGACATCACTACCCTATCCTGAAGTTTCTAGGTTGCATAAATTAGTATCACTCTCAAATTGTATGTATGGTGAAAATAAGTCCCTCTAAATTAGATGCCGTTTTGCATTAAATGCCTGCAATTGCGAGAGAAAACATATTTACCAAAACTTAGGAGATTAAACAAATCAACGCACTGAGACAACATTACAAGGAAAAAGTGATAGTAATTCATCCTCCACTAGTGCACAGGTTCATTGTATATGTATAGCATTCATCATGTTCGCAATGAACTAGCTGACAAAACGTGAATATTAAATTAAACCTAAACCCAAGACAAAGGCCTATAAAAGGCACAGACCAACACCAAGCAAGCAATCAGAAAATTAAAAACAATAATATCTACGTGAGATCCAATTCTTCATATCAATCAAGAAAACTTCCCTACAATCCTATAATTTTTTTTTGGATGACAAGATTATTTTGCGTTCTCTAGCAAATTGTTTTGTTAACAAACTGCAACACAGCTAATTTTATAGTAAAATACCTATCCCATCTTTCAGATTAACATTGAGTTTCAGTTCTTGCACCAAATACTTGCAGACATGAGTCTTTCCACCTGCAGCAGCAAAATGGAGCGCTGACTGGCCTCCAGAGTCCTTAACATCCATAAATGTCTTTGCCAACCCATCCCCATAGTCGAGTTCCTCTGCCAACTCTGATCAAGCATTTCAATATACACCAAATGGAATAAAATAAGATTGTTTTACTAAAAACATATCATTTTAAAACCAATAAAACTATATGTGCACATAATTAAATCTAGAAAGATAATGTGTATTTAAATAAATCCAAAGCATGCAATCTAAAACAAAATTTCAAAATCAAGTAATTTTGAACTTATTTTTGAATCTCATGTTATTTTGTATACATTAAAAATTCTGAATATTTTTCTGAATACATACTATTTCTCTTTTTAAACAAAAATTTCAAATCAATGTGTTTTAAACTTATTTCTCAATCTCATCTTATTTTGTAAAATCTTGTCTTCGATTAAAACTTGCAACTGAGAAACAAGTTTTGGGTCCGTTTGCTATCCAAGATAGAGCTCCGGACTGGATTGTTAGTCCGGTCATCAACACCCTATGAAGCACGGATACTTCAAAAAGGGTGACGTATCCGTATCGGATACTTATCAGATACCGATACTCCTCGGATACTCGCGGATACGTATCGGATACTTCTTAAAAGTATCGGATACTTCTTAATTAATTTTTTATTAATTTTGAAGTATCGGATACTTAATTTTGAAGTATCGGATACTCGAAGTTACATATTACTTATAATATTTTGTTTAGTTCTTTCATAAGAGGAATATAGTGAGAGCTTAAGTAATAGAATTTGTCAAATTGATGTATCCTTGTTGTCTCTCTCACTTCTCTCTCGCTTTCTCACTCTCTCACGTTTCTTCTCTCTGCTCTCATTCTTTTTTTGGTGTTGGCATGTAAGGATGATGTTTAATTTGCATTTGCAAAATCGAAAATTGCCAGAAATGTAATACTGGGCTCTGATACCATGAAAGATTAGTGAAAGATTAGTTTGAGAGAGTGAGAGAAGTTATAGAGCGAGAGAGAGACTCTGAAATGTTTTGTATATATGTGTTAATTACAAAGGGAATGAAGTCTCTCTTTATAGAGAGAAACATGGGCATTGGATGCCACACTCACCGAAAGCAAAAGCTATACAATTGATTGAGTACCACCGAAAGCAAGCAAAAGCTATACATTTGATAATATAAAGCAAAAGCTATGTAACACTATACAATTAATAATAATAAATTTAAAACTATTCTAACATATTCTAACAATATATATATATATATGAGGGCAAAACTTAAATAGGAGATAAAGAAGAGGTGAAGATTTGGGGCCTCAGCTCTAAAGAGGTGTATGTGCTTCATAGGCTAAGGAGGGTGGGGGTTGCAGGATGCAAAGGAAATAAGAGGGGTGAAAGGCAATTTTGTTTTTTTAAGGATGGATCCCACCACCTTATAATTTTATTTTATTTTATTTTTAAATCTGTACTGTAATAAAAATGATTCTTCACTAATTTGTAATGTAACTCTCGTCCTAAATTCTTTAAAAAAATAAATAAATAATCAAATTTACATGGTGACAAATATCATTTTCTAAACAAATTCAAAAGTTTCAAGATGCCTCTGGTCGAGGAGATAGTATTGAGAAATAGTCTGTCTGTTTGGATTAGAGTGTAACCGGTTATCCACATGTTGTCCGGCCAAGTGGCCACACATCTCTAAAAAAAAAAAAATTATATTTGTTTGGGTAAATCACATTGACACCCCGTTGAAGTTTGGTCCAATTACTACCCACTCCCTCACGTTTTGAAAATTATATTCGAGCTGTGATTAATAGTCTCATTTCACAAAACTCTGCTTATGTAAAAGGTAACAACTTGTAAAAAAATAGAAGAAATTACATTAAACAAAAATAAAATAAAATAAAGGAAATGGAAAAAAAAATAAAAAAAAATAAAGCAAAACAAAAAAAGAGTGTGCACGAGTTTAATGTGTTCATTCCGTCTAAATAATTACAATGACAGGATTAGTGTAATTTTCCAACTGTCATGATTGATATGTATTAAACTCAAATCTCTGGAGTGTAAGTGTAATTTGTCCTATTTGTTTTATATTTATTTTATATAAAAATAATTTAACAATCTCCACGCTAACTAACTGTTATCATTAAAATAAATATAATTTTATCTAATTCTCTCACTAATTTCGTATAAAAAAACTCGAACAAAAATGATGAAAAAAATAGGGCATTAAACTCCAGAGACTCAAAAATAACGCAAAACAAAACCCTTAAACCAACGATTCTTACTGGTGAGGAGTTTAAGATTTCCGGTTAAGGCAGCGTTGAGAAGACAAGAAGTCCGACTTTCACCTGCAAATAATGCATACTCAAAAACATACCCACATACATATATATATATATATACAAAATACAGAGATAAATGAGCAAAAAGAGAGGAAGAACTAGGGTATGTGAGAGAGACAGAGAGACCTGAAGGAGAAGAAGCCATTGCGGTTCGAAATACTACTACTGTGAACGCGGAGGCGGTTCAGTGAAGGTGCGACAGTATTATAGTAGTAGTACAATATGTTTAGGCTGTGTTTGTTTGGAGTTTGGAGGGGAATAGATTTTTATTGAGCCAGTTGAAGAAACTTTACGGTGAGCACAAACAGAGCCGTTAAATGGAGGGGTTTTTGCACATCGTAAAGGGCGCCAAGAAATGAAAGGACGTAGAGAGAAATGGGGGGAAGTAGAGTGGAGGTTGTACGATTAACGTGCGAGTGGAAAGTGCCACGTCGCGTTGATTTTATGGGGGGACGTCTTTTCGGTTCCTTTTTCAATAAAAGGTTGTGTCTTAATTTGGTTAGCTTGCCATGCAAGCTTTTGGCCCATTCGGTTGGGTTAGATCACCTCTAATGGTTCATCAAATCTGATATCAAAAGTAAAATTTGATGAAAAAGTCATTTTTTTAAGCTTCAATGATTTCACCAAATCGATATCAAATCCAGAATTTAACAAATCTTTTACCAAAATGAGAACAGGCGAAACATTTTACCAAATTACTGTTCCTAACCGTTAGGAGAGACCAACCGGTCAACCAGCCGGTTGCCCGGCCGGTTGACCAACCGGTCGACCGCCTAATGGTTTAAACGGTTCAAAGAAAAGGTTCAAATAGTAACCAAAAAAAAAAAATTTTTGCCTAACCGGTCGACCAGCCAGTCGACCAATAAAAGGTTAAAAAGTTCAAAAAAAAAATCAAAAAAAAAAATTCGCTTAACCGGTCGACCAACCGGTTGTCCCCGGCACAAATTTGATGAAAGTGCACCGTTGGAGCAAGTGGTATCAAATTGGTAAAATGGGTCATTTTTTACTCAAATTTGGTAAAAAATCTAATTCACCGTTAGAGATACTCTTACAGCATCTGAAACGTTTACTCACAATTTTTCATTAAAGCTTGGTTTGGGATACATTAAATAATATAAAAAATTATTATTTTATTTAAATAATATTATTTTATTTAAATTATATTATTTTTTTAGTACATCAATTCAAACTTAACCCATATAAGTCAATAAATTAAAAAGTATACTTTTTTAGAACATCTCAAACTAACCCTAAATTTGAAGAAAATTTTAAAATTGATATATTGTGTTTTAATTGTTTTATTAAGGAATTGTTTGGATGTCTTAAATAAATATATTTTTTGATTTTTTAGATTAAATAGTTGAGGAAAAAAATATGGTTGTTTAGATTAACTTTTTGAGTTTTTACGAAAAAAATGTTAATTAAAAAATTGTATAAATTAGTGTGTAAGAGAAGATAAGGACAGTATGTAGTAGGCTATACCGTTTGGGTAAGTGAATTGATGATAAGAAATGGTTGCCTACTTTTCGAACATTGCATTGGACAGTATTGTTTGGTCCATAAGGGCCATCACGAATCCCGTTTTGATAATCTGAGCCGTCAATGTGTAGAACTCGTCAAGTACTATATGCCTGTAAAAAATCACGTTAATCAAATATCGATAGTTATTTGATCGGATTAGTTTTTTTTCAACCGTTAATTATAACACTATCCATTCTTTCATACAAAACTGATTTAATCATATAGTTAGCGATATCCGATCAATGTGATTTTTTTACAAACATATAGCACTCGACGAATTCTATATATTGAACAATTCAAATTATCAAAACGGGGCCCGTAATGGGCCCCCATGGCCGAACAGCACTGTGTTGTTTGGCCGAACAACACTGTGTGCACCCTACCTGTGCAATTTTTCCAAATCATTTCAGCCACTCAACAACAGTCTGTGGGACGGTTCAGATTGTGTTGTAATAATTTGTGTGTATTTTTTTTTTTTATAAATAATGATAACTTCTTAACTTTTTAAATAATTTTTTATTTTATTTTATTTTTAAATATCCAAAATCAGTCCTAAATTTGACCAATCATTTGATCGGTCGTTTAGTTAAAGTAAATTTTTACACCAAGGATCCTCTAGAGTGAAATTTTTCTAAAGTTTCCTAGAGTGCTATATTGTGTGGTTGAGATTTACTGGCAAGTCACATCAAAAAAATTGATGTGACTTGTCAGTAAATCTCAATCACACAATGTAACACTCTAAAAAACTTTAAGGAAAAATCACTCTAGAGGATCCTTACTCAAATTTTTAACATAATTTTTTTTAAGTTATCCATTTACCCGATTGACAGGTCATCCGTCCACTCAAGCATCCATGAGCGATCATTTGCGAAAATTGAGAAAAAGTTAAATACTCTTCGATTTTAATGAAAAATATGATCTCACCTTGATTTGGTATGGTTTTAATTCCAACCAGTAGAAAAAATGAACATGTGTTTATCAAATTAAAATTTGAAAAAACATCTTAAGCCACATTTCTTTTGCGGGCTAGGTTAAATAAGATTATTAGTGAGGGGATGATTAATGAAGAAGTTGTTAATGTTTAAATTGATAGTGATGAGATTAAGGGCTATTTAAAAAAGATGGTTAAAAGTCATCTTCCAACTTTTAATTCAATTTTGATTACATCATCTCTCACATTTTTTACACGCTTTTTTTTTAAAAAAAGACTGAAAAAGTAAAAACAAATTAACTTTTAACTATCTTTCCAAAACAACCCTAAGTGAAAGTGTATTTATTTTAACTAGTGGTTGGCACACACGATGTGTGTGCAATTTAAATAAGTAGGAATAAAAAAAAATAATAATGAAATTAATATTATAATGTGTACTTAGCTTAAGTGGTATGAGTCTTCGTATGGGTTCAAGCCTTGCCCATCTCTTTGTTTAACTTTTTTTTTTTAAAATAAAAATTACTGCCACATGGCATGAGGAGAGTAAAGCAAGCTTCAGGACACCATATTCTCTTTGTTTAATTTTTTTTTAAAAATAAAAATTACTGCCACATGGCATGAGGAGAGTAAAGCAAGTTTCAGGACACCATATTATGTGTTCACTTTATAATAGTATAGATAGATAGATAGATGATATAGTGCGAGGGATGGTTAGTAATTAGATTATTAAATTATTTTTATAAAAAATCTTTAAAAAATAATTTATGTAGTAAAAAAATAAATATTTTCAATTGCAAAAAATAAAAATTTGCATTGTTTTAGGCGTTCAGGCAAACAACCGAATGAACATCCAAGAAGACGACTAAATAGGTCCAATCTGCTCACTATTTTCCTAATCTCCCACTGAAGGAGATTGCCAAGCTACATACACTATCAAGCTAACTTCTTAAATCATCACCAAACATGTTGTTGTGGGTGAAACCCATAGCTATCCTATGCCAATCTGGTCGTTGAAGTGGCCAAACAAACGTGACTTAGGGTGCAAGTTTTGGCTAATTTGGTCCTGTGTATATATATTTTTTTAATGACCTTGTTTAATTTGTATTTTGAGATATTGTTTTAGAAATGATTTTTTTGTATAGTTCCGTTTGGTAGTTCGAAAATGTTGGGCTCGAATTGGTTCAAAATTCAAAACGCCGTCGTTTTGGGTTTTTTTTTTTTTGCCGCCGTTTTGGGTTTTGGGTTTTTTTTTTTTTTTTTTCTCTCTTGTTTTTCTGAAGAAGATCCAGAAGAACTTGTTGATTCATTACGAGAATGTGTTTCAGAGGAGAAGAAGAAAATGATCAATTTGTTTGCTAGATTATTCGCCAAATGATCAATATGTGTGCTGTATTCTGGTTTTTTTTTTCATCTGAAAATGATCAATATGTGTTGCTAGAAGAAAATGATCATTTGCTAGAATCTGAGTCTTCCTCTGAAACAAAAACAAAAACTCAAAAAAGAAAAAAAATAACAAACCCAGCAACAGTGCTCTACAACCCAGAAACAGAGGAATCAAAATCAAAATCAAAAACAAAACCCAAAAAAAAAAAATAACAAACCCAACAATAGGCAGATCAACAAACTCACATGAAAATCAAAACTAAAATCTAAATCAACAAACCCAACAACAAACCCACATGAAAATCTAAATCAAAAACTCACAAAAATCTCACAAAAAAAACCACTTGCATAACTTTATGAACCAAAAAAAAAAAAACCATTTCTCTGTAATGAAGACCGAGAAAAAAAAAAGAGAGAGATGGTGATTTTGGATCTGTGATGGTGATCTTGAGGTGATGGTGATCTTGGATTTACGATGTTGTTTGTTGTTTGTCTGTGATGGTGATCTTGAGAAAGATGAAGCTGTGTGTTGATTTTGGTCATAAAGATTGCAAACGAAGAATAAGAGAGAGTGAAGCTCTGTGTCTTATTCTTTCTAAAGATAGAAACAACAAACAACAAAGAGAAAGAGAGTAACAAAGAGAAAGAGAGTAAAAGAATGAAAATTTCTCGTAACTCAAATTTTGTGACTTAAAAGTGGTTTAAATGGCCAAAATAACGTTATTTTGGTCATTTTTATGTTGTTCTGTACTCAAAACGACGTCGTTTTAACCATTTGAGCCACAAAATTTGAGCTACGTAACATTGTCGGTAAAAGAAAGGGAAAACAAAAAAATTTGAAAACGACGTTTTTAATTTCGGGCCAATTGAGCCTTGGATTTTTCGAGCTCTCAATCTTTATTGTTTTTTTTGTAAAGAGTATAAAAATTTTAAAAATTTATTTAGTGATATAGTTTGAAAATAATTTTTGTGTTTTAGAGTTTTGGATGATTTCACTTTTTAGATGGGAGTGAAAGACAAAATGATTGAGAAAAGAAAGATGAAAGAAAAAAACTGATTTAAATTTTTTTTTTTTTTCAACTAAACATATTTTTGAACTTTTTTTCTCCATAAACAACCAAACATACACAATGATTCCCGGTATAATCATTAGGAGTGTTTGTTTCACTTTAAATGATTTATTTATAATTTATTTTAATTTAAGAATTTATAACATACTAATTTAAATAAGTGTATTTTTTGACTTTTTATAAAATATAAATTATGTTTGAAGTGATATAGTAAAGAGGTGATGTGACTTAAATAGAATGATATGACTTAAATAGAATAACGATTTTTTGATTTTTTAGCTCTTTTAAGGGATGTCAAACCAAGCCTTAATTTAATTTCTACTTATTATTTATTAGACATAAATAATTTAAATAAATACGTTGAAAAGAAAAGTTGCAGAAAGGTGTTTTTTAACTTTTGCTTTTTTATTATTAAGGGATATTTTGAAAAGTTGGTAAAAAGTTGTCTTTTGACTTTTTACCAAGCTTTTTAACTTTTTGAAAAGTTGGTAAAAAAGCTGACTTTTTGCTTATTAGCTTAATATTTATTTATAATGTCAAATCAAATTAAAATGACCAAAATATCCTTACCCAACATAAGAAATTTTTATTTTTATTTTGTTGTCATAGGGCCTAATTTGTAATTTCACACCTGCATTTTTTGCCCTTCCCAAACCAAATTTGTTGCGTTTTTGGCCACTTGCGTTTTTGGAAAATGATAAAAAAACGTGGTTTTTTATGGCCCTTCCCAAAACGGCAATAAACCTCGTTTAGGAACAAGTTATTTTAGTAATTTTTTTAATTTTTTATTAAAAATTATGTAAAAAAATAGAGAGAATAATGTGACAACTTACAGTGACTTTTAAATTTTTTGACTAAAATAATTACCCTCCAAATGGACTCGTTTATCAACTATACATTTTAACAACAAAAAAAATTAAAATTATTAGAAGCTGTCACATCACTCTCTACTTTTCTACATTTTTTTTAATAAAAAATTTTAAAAAATTATTAAAATAATATGTTTCCAAACAAAGCCATTATAATAAATTGCACTAGACAAAGTCATTGAAAACTAAAAATTAATAATAATAAAGCAAAACTTAAAATGGCCTACTCGTTTTTATAATTATTTTTTTGCAATTTATTTAAGTTATTTTTGTCTAATGACACAAACTTTCAAAATTAAAATAAATTATAAACAAGTCATTTAAGTTGCAATAAAACACCTTTAAACCCAAATAAATTAGGAGTTAGACCTTGTTTATTTTCAGAGATGAAAAGTAGGATTGAACTATTTTAGAAAGTAGATTAAAAGTTAATTTTTTTACTTTTTATAACTTTTTTTTTGAAAAAAAAAAAGAAAGTGTTTCAAAAAAAAGTGAAAATATATAGAAATGTAATGTGACCTAAAATAACCAAAAAATCAAAAACTGAATTTTAATTGTTTTGCCAAAATAGGCCCCCACAAATATCAAATTTTGAATTGTTTTTAGTGTATTTATACTTATTACAAAAAAACGCATAGAAAAGTATAAAAAAAAAGAGAAGAGAAATATTGTGATCAAAATAAATTAATAAACTGATATTTTTGGATATTACAAAATATATATATATATATATATATAATACCGTGAGTCATTCTTAAAAAAAATCTCAGATATACAATATGTTTTATGTGTTCTATTTCTATACACCTAACACTGTCATCACTTGGGGTGTTACAAATCATGGAAGAACTTGTAAGTTTTAATATCTCGTACAATGAACCTAACTGCACCAATGCAACCCAAAACTGCAACCCCGAGGTGAAGAGACATTGTTGACCCTCATTTTATAAAAATAATAAAGTTACTTTTTTATTTTTTAAGAGGATGTTTAGAATAATCTAAATAAATATATTTTTATTTTTTTATGAAAAGATGTAAAAAAAAATAGAGATATAATCAGTGTGTTTGGTTTCAATTTTTTAAATTTAATTTTCTGGAAATTGAGTTTTTTATTTTTTGTATTTTTTTATTATTAGTGAATTTTTTTTAAATTCTAAGCAATTTTTTTACTTTTTATATGTACCTTACTTAGATATATCTAAATAGTAAAATATTTGTAAAAAAATATTTTTAAAAAATACTAAATACACAAAAATATAAAAAATGTACTAAATTTTCGTATTTTTTTTTGTATTTTTTGGTATTTAGTGTATTTTTTAGAATTTTTTTCACAAATATTACTTTTTTTAAGTGTATTTATGTTAAGCCTGCCTAAAAAATTTTAAAAAAATTACTTAAAATATTTAAAAAATTCATTGAAAATATTAAAATACATAAAATAAAAATATAGAAGTTTTTGAAAACTGTTTTAAGAAAACTATAACCAACCCAAAAAAAATAAAAAAGATAAAAAAAAAGTGCACTTTTGTAAGGGATGCCAAATAATGCTTAATTAAAAATTTCAAGTGGTTTCATAGATTTATTAATCTCAACCTTGAACAATTAATATCATCGCACTAGTGCATAAACAAACATAATTTAATTTACATTTTTAACCTAATACCATTATATTAGTAATTCTCTCAATCAATCTTACAGTACTATTGATAAAAACAAAAAATGAAATCTACATTAATATTTACCTATTGTTGTAAAAAGTAATAATAAAACTATATCTTAACCATGAGCTTATAGTTATTCTATCTACCGTTGGGTAAAGCTTTGGAATTCGACTAGATTTGCTCCCCAATTTGAGTCCCGATAGCTACAACACCTCGTGGCCAGTGATAGGCTCCCATTGTGCGAGCAAGGATTAGTAAAGGCACGCTAAGCTGACCCGAACACTCTGTGGACTACCAAAAAAGTAATAATAATAATAATAACAAAAGAAAATAATATTTATGCTCTAGCTTCTTTTGTTTTTCATATTTAAATCTCATAAAGAGAGAGTTAAAGGCTAAAAAGAAAATGTAAATATCATTTATCATGATAAAAATGGAAACAAAAAATATCAAAACTGCTATTTAAACATTTCAGACTTTAATTTTTGCCTTTCAATTTATCATAAGAGAAATGCAGAGTATAAAATATCCGTGTTTCTAACGAGTCAGTGTGATTTCACAATATTTAGAAAGAATGTGAGTGTAATTTACTCTTAAATTATTTAATTCTTCCACTTTTCAATTGCCAAAAAAACAAGAAGAAATTATTCAATGCTCTAAAGGAAAATGGGGAGACCCCCTAGCCCCCAGTGGGTGCTGATTGGCTCAATTTTTTTTTTATTTTTTTTTATTTTCATCCTCTCTTGGACCCCATGTGTATGTGGGGCGGTGGAGTCGTCCCCAACTGGGTATGCAGCATGATTGTACTCTAAAAATATCTTATCTTTTTGTCTTTTTCTTTTTTTTAATCTATCTTGGCAGAATACTATTCCATTGAGCAATCACTTACTAGAGAAATAGCAAATAGTAGATGAGAATACAAAAAACTTCTAACTAGGTCTCGTTTGGGAACAGGAACAGATTAATTTAGTAACTTTTTGATTATTTGACTAAACTATAAGCTAAAAAAAATTAATATGTTTAAGATAACTTTTTAATTTTTTACGAAAAGATGTACAAAAAATAGAAAGAAAAGATAATCTTTGACTTTTTGGTATGAGTTGTTGACTTTTTGAGTAATTTAATAACTTTTTGACTTTTTATTTAAAAGGGAGGATTTCCAAACGTGGCCTAAATGTTAAATGCACAGAAATGGCACAAAAAAATATATTATGTGGTTGAAATTCAGTCTTAATATAATGTGAGTCATTCTTAAAAAAAATCTCAGATATACAATATGTTTTATGTGTTCTATTTCTATACACCTAACACTGTCATCACTTGGGGTGTTACAAATCATGGAAGAACTTGTAAGTTTTAATATCTCGTACAATGAACCTAACTGCACCAATGCAACCCAAAACTGCAACAACCGAGAACCAAGCAACAATGGCCAGGTTAAGAAACAGCAACAAATGTCGAAGTCTTGTATTTTTTAGGGTTAGGCCTGCTTTCAGATATGCCAAAACGGGGAAGACGAAGTCCAGTGGAGTAAACCCCACGGCTCCACAGATGGAAACAAAATCTCCAAAGAAAGGCATGGCTGCAGCAACAAGCGTTATAAGAACCATGTAGATCGAGGTGTAAATAAGTCTGATGAGATGGTTTTGAAAAGGGACTCGGCTAGTTGTTTTGCTGGACAGCATTCTTTCCTCGAAGTATGCATATGTTGGCCTGCAATATATCTAATCGAAGAAAGGATGTAATAAATAAGAAATTTTATTCGATGAATATGGGTAAAAATGACACATCTAGAACCCACAAAAATTATTCTAGGAGAGAAAATATTGCTAACAAGTGGCAGTAACAGTGAATTTTTAAGTGAAATTTGGGCCAAGAAAGGTAAGAATTTCCAATGTCAAAAAAAATAAATAAATAAATAAAAAATCATGAATACAATACGAGTAGTATTATTCTCATTTCAAAACATGGATATGGTCTAATTACTATATATCCCATTCTCATCAACATCAATTGAACTTCCAAGACAAGCACAAATCTTTTTATGTGACATCAATTACCCAAAATTCATGACTTCAAAAAGCTTGAAAATTGATTTAAACAAAAGGGCTGTGGGGGAAAAGTTGAAAACTACCTGAAAGCATCCCGATATTTGAATCACAGCAAAAAGATTAGCCATAACAGTTGTCCACTCCGGGATAGTAAGAGAAGCCACAATGTAAGGCTGGACATCTGATCCAAATGCCCAGTAGCCAGAAAAAGCTAATTGCCAGTAAGTCAAAACAATAATACCATAAGCTGTTGATACACCTTTGTACATGTTCTTCTTTGCAGGTTCCCTCATGCTACTCTGAATAACAGTCAATTATAGTTCATTTAATTGCCACAATTCAACTAACTGTCACCATTTGCATGTATAAACTCTATAAAGTGTTATGTTAAACAAACACCAAAACACTTTTCAAACATATACTCCATTAAAGGTACCAATAAATTAAGGGTAAATTACACTGACACCCTCGAGAGGTTTAGGTTTAATACAGACTCCGCTTCCACATTTTGAACATTACATAGATTTCCCGTCAGTATTTGTCTGTTAATGTGGTTAACAACAATTATTGAATAATTTTTTTGTCCTTTTACAATCCACCATTACCTGCCTCCCACCACCACTACCTTCTCCCTCCCACCGTCCACCGTGAACCCTTGCTCTTGCCCCGCCTTCTAGACCTTAGGTGACGACATTGATGGTAGTAGCCATGTTGGGGGTTTGATGGCCTTAGCCCCCTCCCTTGAAAGTGAAAACATCCAGCCATAGTGGCAATGAGTCTCCCTTGAAACATTAGTGGCAGATGGTGGTAAGGTACTCATTGATTTCTGTCCAAAGACAAATTTGGTGGTGTTGAGTCACCAATCTCTCTTGTTGACAAAATTGGTGTTGTGGGTTTATTTTGAGTTTGATTTGGGTTTGTCACTGATATTTGACATTGGTTTTGGGTCAGATATTGATTTGTGCGTGGTTTGGATTTAGAGGGTCCAGTTTGAGGGTTTTGGTTTGATTTGCAATGGGTGTAGTAAAGAGAAATGAAAGAACTGATGAGGTGGTGATTTGATTTGCAATGGTGGTGGTTACGAAGTTTGGAGGTGGGGTTATGGGGCAGTAGTGGAGTTGATAGTGGTAATGGTTAGGCTGGGTAGAGAGAGGCGGTGGGGATGAGAAGAGGGGTGGTCACAGTGTAAAGGTGTGCAATGGAGGGGTGGCAATGGAAAAGGAAGGGTGGAGGAGCTGTGTGAGTAGTATGGAGGGAGAGTGGGGGAGAGAGATGGAAGAGAAACAGAGGAATAGAGATACAATTGGCATTTGAAAATTTTATTTTGCCAACATCATTCTAAAGTCAACAGGCAATGTGTAATGCGACAATTAATTAACCTCAGAGACGGGAATGTAATTTCTAGAAGGGTGTTAATGTAATGGAGACAAACATTAGGGGGTGTCAATATAATTCACCCATAAATTAAATAAGACTCACGGTTATAAAATATCACTCATAAAGATCATGATAATTTTACCTGTATTTCTGGAAGCATTGCATCTCCAAATGAAAAGGCTATTGCCCCAAGGGCATTGAATGCTCTAAAAATCTTCCATGACGAGCTTCCTTTTAAACTGTAGCTAACTGATTTTCTATCAATCTTATTACCTACAAAACAATGTTTCCAATTTATATATATATATATAAATCGATAGTCGTCTGCTTGATGAAACTAAAGGAAAAATCAACCACTCTTTCTGGTTGCACTCAAAGAGAAGAAAATAACAAAAATGGATAACAGGCTTACCATTATATATAGTGACTCCAATGGTTGTACCAGCAAAACCAACTGTGCTGAAAGTGCACAGTGCATTTACCCATCTCAGTGAATGGATGTCCGGGAGCTGAGAGAGAAAAAGTTCAAATGCCCCAAAGATAATAATGAAATGCTGCAAGGTTAAGGTACCATCTCTGTGGTAGTATTTATATACTGCCTGCACAAATTACCCAAAATTTAAAAAAAAAAAAAAAAAAAAACTGAAATTCTACTGGTCCCATTCATTGGAATGGATCACGAAGTCTGGTCTCATACAGATACACTAACCTTAAGGCTAGTTCCAGCAGCAATATGAATGGCAATGTTATTACCCAAGGAAGCCACCTGTTGAAAAAATGCAATAGACCAGTAACCCCAAGTTCCTTCAAAGTCAGGAAAGATGGTTATAGTCAACACAAAAGTACAAGTAACAACAGAAAAAAAAATGCAACCATATGACTTGAAACTATATTACAAGTGCAGCAGCAAACCAATAAGATTCAGAGAAAATCGACCAAAACATTCAGCTTAACCAGTAACCTGTGCTGGATCCATTCAGCTCAATTAAACAAAAAACAAAACAAAAAGCATAACACCCAAGGAGTGGGAGAAAGTTATTTCCACCAATATCAAGAGCATTTACAAATCAAACTTAAGGACGGTCACATCACAATATGAAACAAAGAAAAGAGCATCTATGCAGCTACATGAAAGATTGAAATACATGCCAGGCAAGTGATAATCTGAACATGAGTTTGTATTAATTACTAATTTACTAATAGGAACTCGACCAATATGCCAAAAGACCTGGGTCCAATGGAATGCATGAGATCAATTCCTATATTTCATTCCATACCAGAACAACTCCAGGATATTTTAAACCAATAGGTTGCGCCCTTCATGCACTCTTGCATAGTACCAGCTCTGATGAGGGGTGACAAATCTACTTGACCAATACGCCAAAGGTCCAAGGTCTAATGGTAGGCATGAGAACAATTTTTATATTCCTCACATGCTGGAATACCCCAACTCATGTCTCATACCATGAATTGGGCCACCAAAATTGTAACAATGTGGGTGTTTGGGAAGTGACTATTTTAGAGGCTTTTTTGCTATTTTAATAGGCTATTTTAGTTTTTGTGTTTGGGAAGTTAGGATAGATTTTTATTTGAGTTGTTGTATTGAAAAATGTGTTTGAAATGATGTTTGAGGCTGAAATTACAAATTTGTCCCTAACCTCACTTTTTTCAAAATTTATCTAAAGGGGCAAATTATCATTTACCAAATGTGCCTACACTGTGGGCCTATGTTAAACCTACATTGTGCCTACACTGTCAACGTGACAGTGTAGGTTGCCCCACGCCAATTTGTATTTTTTTTTTTAATATAAATCATTGGTCTAGGGTATTTGAGACTATTTGACTTTTTTAGTGTTTGAGACTATTTTAGCCTCAAAAGTGGGTTTCCAAACACCTCCAATAACTCACTGTGGCAACACTGAATAACAAATATTATCAATTGTGTTAAAAAGACAAACTAGAGATTCATGGTTCATCAATCAAGCTTCTATGGTGTCATAGAGCATTTCTGAACACATCAAGATTACATCAATGGGAAACTATTTCTTTTATTATTTTCCTCTTGTTTCCAATACGCCAAAGGTCCAAGGTCTAATGGAAGGCATGAGAACAATTTTTATATTCCTCACATGCTGGAATACCCCAACTCATGTCTCATACCATAAATTGGGCCACCAAAATTGTAACAATGTGAGTGTTTGGGAAGTGACTATTTTAGAGGCTTTTTTGCTATTTTAATAGGCTATTTTAGTTTTTGTGTTCGGGAAGTTAGGATAGATTTTTATTTGAGTTGTTGTATTGAAAAATGTGTTTGAAATGATGTTTGAGGCTGAAATTACAAATTTGTCCCTATCCTCACTTTTTTCAAAATTTATCTAAAGGGGCAAATTATCATTTACCAAATGTGCCTACACTGTGGGCCTATGTTAAACCTACATTGTGCCTACACTGTCAACGTGACAGTGTAGGTTGCCCCACGCCAATTTGTATTTTTTTTTTTAATATAAATCATTGGTCTAGGGTATTTGAGACTATTTGACTTTTTTAGTGTTTGAGACTATTTTAGCCTCAAAAGTGGGTTTCCAAACACCTCCAATAACTCACTGTGGCAACACTGAATAACAAATATTATCAATTGTGTTAAAAAGACAAACTAGAGATTCATGGTTCATCAATCAAGCTTTTATGGTGTCATAGAGCATTTCTGAACACATCAAGATTACATCAATGGGAAACTATTTCTTTTATTATTTTCCTCTTGTTTCCATCCTCAAAAGAAAGTACGGCAATTAAATCGGAATAATGAAATAGATGAAATTGCTTTCCCATTGTATATTGAGAGGCAGGTATAATTTTAGCAGAGATCCCTGTATTGCAAGCTACATTCTACTTGACAAACTCAACCCAAGACAGGTCAACAACATCCTAATTGAGAGAATTATACATAGAAGGAAAAAAGAGTCCAATTTTCAAAATAAAGTCAAGAAGATGATACCAACCATAGATGCTCCTGGCAAGATGTCGGTACGTGGTTTGCTTCTTCCCATTCCATCCCCATAGAGACGCGATCAAAAAACTGGAGTACCACGTAGCAAGCGTAGCACTCACCAAACTAGCGACTCCTAAATTAGGAAAAACCAATCAGTGTATTTGATTTGAGTTTTCTGGATTAAGTTTTTTGAAAACTGAATTTTTTGTTTTTCGTGTATTTTGTTTTTAGTGAATATTTTTAAAATTTTAAGCATTTTTTTTACTTTTTTAGATGTACATTACTTAGATGTATCTAAAAAGTAAAAAATTTGTGAAAAAATATTTTAAAAAATTAACAAATACGTAAAAATACGAAAAACATACTAAATTTTCATTTTTTTTAATATATTTTTGGTATTTATTGAATTTTTAAAAGATTTTTTCACAATAATTATACTTTAATGTATATTTATGTTAAGTGTGCCTAAAAATTTTTTTAAAAAAAATTGTTTAAAATATTAAAAAAAGTCTGTAAAAATAAAAAAATACAGAAAACAAGAAAGTAGAATTTTCTGAAAACTATTTTCAGAAAAACGAAACCAAACAAGCTGATATCATCATTGTACTTCCAATAACTAACACTCCGTTTGGGAATCTAGGAGAGAAAAGATTTGAAATAATTACATAAGTTAGGAGATAAAAGAAAAGAACAAACATGTGTTTTCTCTCACTCTGGGAATGGTTTCTCTCATATTTTGTTGGGTTAAAACTAGATAAAAAGAAAGAAAAAAAAAATTGTTTCATGTTCTATTTTCAAAATTACCTTTTATAGTGTCATTTTTTAAATTTCTTTTATATTAAAGGGTAATTTTGGTAATATAAAAAAATAGTTTGTTGGTTTCTTTTTATCTCCTAATCTCCTGATTTCGGGAGGCTCAAAATGCACCCCAAAAAATGGTTGGACACCCCCACTCTCTCTCTTTAGAGCCACCCCTTTGGGAGGGGGTTGAGAACAACTGGTTGGAGCTGAGGTGGGCTTGCTGGAGGGATGCCAGAGCTGCGGAGTGGATGGCTGGAGCTAGGGTTAGGGTTGGGAGGGTGATGGGGGTAAAATTGGAATTATCTAAAGCATTCAATGAGAAAATAAAAATTCAAATTTGACCTTGAAGTGCCCTAAAAAATGGGGTGCCTAACCAACATTTTGGAGTGCATTTAGAGCCACCCCTTCACTTTTTAGAGAGGTTCAAAATGAAAGTTACAAGACAAATAAATTTCCCTTTCTTTTTTCCCATTTTTATACAAAAAGCTGATATGAATCAAGAAAAATGCATATTTCTTTTACTTTTCTTCCCAATCACTCACCCAATCCAAAGGAGCTGTAAGTCTGTGATTTCAAGAATAACAATAATAACATTTGAAACAAAACACAGCATCAACGAGCCAAATCAAGAAATTTTTTCTTACACATTTCTTATTAAAAATAACAACAACAACAACAATAACAATAACAATAATAATAATAATAAAGACTATATATATTATCATGTTTGTATGATTAAATAAATGTTGAAATTAGAAATAAATACCGAGGGGCCAACCGAGAGAAGCGACGGCGAAAGGGAGGGGAGCGTAAGCGGCTGGGGTGGCGATGGTGGTAGCGATGTGGAAAGCAGCGTGCTTCCATGTCCCTCTAGCTTCATGCCCTTCTGCTGCCGCTACTCCAACTCCTTCATTTTCTTCATTGTAAACCCTAGAACCCTCTACTTCTTCTTCTTCTGCTGCTGCTGCTGCTGTTGTTCCTGCAGGAGGTGTTGTTGAGTGGTCTGAAACCATATTAGGAATTGTCGTTGTTGGGTTGATTGAGTAACGATTATTGACATTATAAACAGAAACGAAGAGAAAAGTCCCCAATTTAATACAGGACCACAGAATTATGATATTATTATTGTATTCTTGACTTGTGAGGACATGCAGGTTGAATACAGAGAGAGAGAGTGAGAGTGAGAGTGAGAGTGACTGGTTTTTGTTTTGAGTTTTCAAAAGAGTCGACCTCACTTTGAAATGAGAAACCAAAACACAGAAACGGCAATTGACGGAAGTCTGTGAAAACTGCAAGACGACAAGATATTTTTCCGGCCTCTCGCCCCCACCCCGTTTACACACACACGCATCATCTTTTTCATTTTTTTTTTAAAAATAATTTTTATTTTTTAAATACGATATGCATAGTAGGGTTATTTACCCATAAGTCCCATCCTACAAACAATTTTATCAGTTGGTCTCAAGATTGTTTTATTATTCTCATTAGTCCTGTTAGTAGGGAAATATATTCCCGTTTAATCCTATTTCCTTTGTTTGGCCTAATTTAGTGAGACAATTATATCATTCCTTGCACGCACGTTCGTTCTCCCACACAACCAACATCAAACACACACCAATCCAAAACAAATAAAACAACACACCCAAGCCACACATCTTGCTCTCACAATGTAAACAACCAACAAAAAACAGAGCATGTCCCACATAACTAACATAAACACATACCAAACCAAAACAAATAAAACAACACACCCAGACCCACACATCATGTTGTCACAATGTAAACACCCACCAAAAAACAGAGCATGTCCCATACAACCAACACACCCAGACCAACACATCCTGCCATCATCGTTCCATCAACGATCACCAAATATGTAACAACCCCAGTCCCTGATTAACGTTAATCTATACTTAATTATGTCTAATCAGTAATTAAGGAGAATTCCTGGATTAATTTACATGTGTGCCTTGCGTTATAGCATTTATATCTGTTTACTGTAGAAAGATCTATTCATGTTTTAGTTTCGATTTGCGAATCGAAGGCCTTATTGGCATCTGACTCTAAAATTGATTTGATATATGTGTTGCGTGGGATTTATAAGATTTTATGGCAAGTTTAATTAAAATTTGATTCGACGTGATTAAATCAGGATAACTAATGTTAATTGGTTTAACTTGAGTTATTTACATATATGTCACTAATGGGACCTTGCAAGACCATTTTCTATACCTTATACATGTTTTTGACACTATTGATCCTATCTTTTGAGCAAAACATAAGAGAGAGAGAGAGAGAGAGAGAGGATAGGGAGAATTGGTCCAAGACTTGATAAATTGAAATCAAAACAAAGGATTGCCAGGAATTGTTGCTATTTGAAGAGGATTAGAAGGTTTCAACTTCAACCCTTATTGATTCAAGCCTCTAGGTAAGGGACTAGACTCTTAATTGAGTAATTGAATTAGATTCTACAAGATTATTGGTGAATTAAGTGAATTCAAGTAGGAATTGCACTAGAGTTGGGAAGAAATTGGTCATACCATGCATGCAAGTACATTTTCTCACAAATTGAGCATGACTTCAAGGATTTCCTTCATGCACGTGTTCATCTCACTTACATTTTGGTCATTCATCTTGTTTTCCATTAAATTACCAAGTTTGATAATGTTTTAGAGTGTTTGAATTCAAGGGAGTTCATGCATGTTGTATTAATGACATATTCATAAAGTTTGCGTTGGAATTTTGTACATTTGGCAAGCCATTGAGCCATGATTTCTTGAATTGATCTTTAATTTATGTTGTTTTAAAGGTCTTCATGTATTTTCTCAAGTTTTGGCCCAGAAAAATCGAGTTTGAAGCTTTAAAGGTTCAGTTTTGTGCTTGAGAATCAATCTGAAAATTCCAGATTTTTGATCCACACTCGAGCGGAGGACTTCACGCTCGAGCGTACACTCTGAGTACATGTACTTACGCTCGAGCATGAAATGCATATGCCCAGAAGTTCATGTGTTTTGCAGCTTGCTCGAGCGAGGGAATTCGAGCTCGAGCAAGGGTCTGAGTCTTACGCTCAAGCGTAGGTCGAACGTCCATCGAGCGTGAAATTCATGCATCCAGTACTTTTGTCGATTTTTGCAGTCCACTCGAGTGGGGAAAGCCACGCTCGAGCAAACCCTTATTTTTTGCATGTCCGCTCGAGCGGAGAAATCCACGCTCGAGCGTGGACCTTATTTTCAGCAAATCTGATAAATGTTTCCTATAACAATTTTTCCATCATCTTTCCATCCTAGGCATTCCTAGGCCTGTTTAAGACTCTATGATGGAGATAAGGACTAAAGGCATGCCAAGAATAAATAAAGCAAGTTATGTATAATTTGATAGTACATTACAAGTGTATGTTTGTGCGTATGTTCGTGTAGGTCGCGTGCCTCGAACCACTTGATTAATCTGCACTATTTATCTGCACCCAAAGGCAACTGTGAGTAATAACTCTGTAAAGTTATGTTTAATTACAAGTATTTTCTGATTGATATGATACAATCCGTTTTCTAAAATGCTATTTTATGAATTATGAATGAATGTCCATATTTCTGAAATGTATTTGTGGCACCCTTAGTTCATGTGGCCCTCGCCCGGGGGGAACAACACTGTGGTCAATCTGTACGTGGCCCTCGCCCAGGGGTAACAATACTGTGGCTTATATTCACGTGACCCTTGCCCGGGGGTAACAATACCAAGGCCTATATTCACGTGGCCCTCGCCTGGGGGTAACAATACCATGGCTACTTGCGCGTAAGATATGGACCTTTATGGTCGTTGGTACCAACTATGCATGTGGGTCTCTGGACCAAGTTACTATGATAGCTAATGGGTGTACCACGTATGATCTTATGCAAAATCTGAGTATGAACATGAGTGTGTATCTGAATCTATTTCTGATTTGAAGTCTGAATATGTTCTGATATAAATTCTGAATCCTAACTTGTGCTGGATATCATTCATTAAAACCCTTTACTCTATTGTTATTCACTGGGCTTCCACTCACTATTTATTTATATATATGTAGGTGAGCAAGCGCGTGACTAGGCCTGAGATGCCGCCTGACGAGTTTTGGTGTTAGCCAGCCATCATGCCTCCCGTAGAGGTTCCTTGCTGTGATCTGTTAAGTTTTGTGTCCGCGGGACTTTTGTACTTCAAAAATGTTTATGTCTAGTCTGAACATGTTTGAAGTCTTGTATAAATGGCTAGGGTGATGTAAGGCTACTGTACTTTTCGTGCCTGTATGTATGCATATATGTATATGAAAAGTTTTAATTTTCTGTCTCATATATGTCTGCACAGCTCTATGGACGATGTAAATTTGTATTTTTGCTTCCGCAGCCCCTGTTAAACATACTATTTCGTTTAGAGGCCTTTGGTAATCCAAGGATTACTGGCCGGTTACGATGCTAAACCTATAGGGGCGGGTTTGGGTCGTGACAATATATGACACAACACACAGCTCTGGCACCGTCACAACCCTCTACTGTCGATATCTCCCACCGCCTCACCGTCAATGTGGCAACGACTCACCACACTCACATAACCAAACCGTAAATACCTCACATCTCAATTCGCAATCAAGGACGACCGTCAAACTGAAATCGGTAATTCCAGATTTTTTGGGACGAAGATAGGGCAAATTGCAATAAACTATGGGTTAGAAATCAAACTTAACCCAAATCGAAACGTCTTAGATACGTATCCCCGTTTTGATGTGCGTATACGAGTTGGGCCGGATGGCTAGGAAAATGGTTGTGTGGCACGTGCACTACACCACACCACACAAAAAGCAAAAAGCATAAAAACCTATAGTGCACTTTTGGGTTGTGTGGCATCCATCCAAGCACACAATTTGCCATGTAATAAACATTTATATACAGCCACACATGAACACACTAATTTAAATCACACAGCTATCACGCTGATAAAGGTAAATAAAGGTCACTTATGTCTTTTATATAAAATAGAGGACTAAATGGATCACAAGTATTAATCTGGGACCAAATGGTACACAAGTTCAACATTTAGGATTTATGGGTAACTCTCCCTAATATTTATGAAAATAATTTTTTTAAAACTATATCAAAGTAAAAAATATATAAAAATTTAATATATTTTTATATTTTGTTGTATTATTTTTTTTAAAATTTTTGTATAAATTATATATATATATATATATATATATATTAAGCATATCAAGATTAAGTAGATTTAAAAAGTAAAATAAAATTGATTAAAATATTTTAAAAATTACTAAAAATATAAAAATACAAATTAAAAACTCATAAAATTATTTTTCAGAAACTCCAAAAACACATACCCCGCAAATTCTAATCACCTTGTTTGATTTTGATTGATTTTTTAAAAATTAAATTTTATTTTATTTTTTGTGAATTTTTTTAATATTTTAAGTAAATTTTTTACTTTCTTGATATACATAACTTAGATGCACTTAAAAAATAAAATATTTATGAAAAAAAATTAAAAAGCTTGTGATAAATTCATATTCCCACTCCCGTAAATCTTTAAGTGCAATGGTGAAACTATTAAGGCATAAGGACATTTGTTGAAAAATTGTTGGTCAAAGAGACATTACTTTAAATTTTTATTTTAACTTATCTATTCAAATCTTTTTTTTTATCTATTTAGTTTTTTGAACTTATCTGTTCAAATTTGTATTTATCTGTTGAAATTCACCAAGTCTACTTTTTCTATCTGTTAAAATTCACTAAACCTATTTTTCTATCTGTTAAAATTCACCAAGCTTACATTTTCTATCTGTTGAAATTCAACAAGCTTATTTTTCTATTTGTTCAATTTTTTATTTTATCTGTACAAAATCACTCTCTCTTTCTCTACAAACTCACTATTTGTTCAAACATTTATCTATCTCTTTATCTCTATAAACTCACTATCGGTTCAAATCTTTCTACAAACTTACTATATGTTCAAAAATTCAATCTATATTATTTGTATAGGCTTTGTAATAGACTAGTGTTGTTATCGAAGCAGTTGAATAAATGGAACCAATATCTTAACAGTTTACAAATGAATAACCAATTCATCTATTATTTATAGCTATGTAATGTGAAAAAAGAATGAAAAAATGAGACTGAATATTACTCACCTCTTAATCCCATATGAAAACTGCATGTATTGAGGTACGAGGTAGAGTCATTTTGTATAGATAATAAGTATGTCCTTATAGATGTAATAGTTTAGCGTGGAGTTTTACACATAAGAAATTTAAAATTAGACTTATGGACTGAGTTCATTTTAAAAAATTCAATAACT